TCCTCTTTAATTTTTAGCTCATTAACTACTTGTTTCATCTGAAAAAAGTTATTTTCCAGAAGTGACTTAAGAGATTCTAAAAAATATTTCAACAAAGTACTTTTTTAATATCTGAAAAAAGTACCTTGAGATTCTAATTTAGGAAAACATGTTCCTATAATTGGACTTAATAAAAGTAAACTTCCTCCTTTGAAAGCTGTCCAATTTATGACCATTTAGCTAACCTCTAAAGAGGTGCATTTTGCTCTTGGTTTAATTTCTGCTAAGATATTGAAATACTTTTTCTGATTAGTAATAAAAAAAGGTATTTTATATTATAGAAAAAGGTTTTAAATGTTCATCTGTTAATGCTTTATAGTGTTAATGTAGAGAAGTTGACCATCATTTAATTGTTCTCCTGTATGTTAATATGCTGCCACCCTTTTTTCAAGATTTTCTCTTTATTTTTTGTTTTCAACATTTTGACTATTATGTACCTTGGTGTGATTTCTATGTATTTATTTTGCTTAGAGTTAGCTAAACTTCTGCGATCTGTGGGTTGATTTTTTTTTTAATCACTTTTGCAAAATTTGCAGCCATTATCTCATCACATTTCTTCTGCCCCATTATCTTTCTCTTAACCTTTTGAAACTCTAATTACATATGCATTAGGTTGTTTGATAATGTTCCAGAGATCTCTTAAGGTTCTGTTTCATTTTTTTCTCTCTTTGTGTTTCTATTCAGTTAAAAATTTTTTCAAAAATCCTTACCTGGGGATATGTTTTTATTGCTTTTTAGAGAGGAAGGGAGGAGAGAAAGAGAAAAACACTAATTGGTTGCCTCCTGAACATGCCCCTACTAGGGATCGAACCTGCAACCTAGCTGTGTGTCCTGACTAGGGAACATGCCCCTACTAGACAGTAGAACCCACAACCTTTTGGTGTATGGGACACGCTCCAATCAGCTGGCCAGGCACCATTCAGTTAAAAAAATTTTTTTTTGACCTAAGTTCTCTGATTCTTTCCTCTGCTGAGTATTATCATCTGATTAGTGAATAGCCTGGCTTATGAACTATCAAAATTTTCTTTTCTGATACTGCATTGTTTTCATTTCTACCATTTCCAGTTATCTCTTTATATTTCCATCTCTGTTGAAATTCCCCTTCTGTTCACACATGTTTACCTTTTCCATTAGATCCTTTAACATATTTATTAAAATTATTTTAAAACTCTAATAATTCCAATTTCTTAGCCATCTCTGGATTTGAGCCTGATGACTGGTTCCTTTCTTGATGGATCATGTTTTCTTGCTTCTTTGTGTCTCTTATTTTTTACTGAATGCCTTATAGTGTGTATTAAAAAACTCATTTTGCAGGTTATCTGGCTTGTTTTTGTTAGGGTATAAGTAACATTTCCTTCCTATTTTACATTCTCTAAGCAGATCTGTGTGTGTGCGTGTGTGTGTGTGTGTGTGTGTGTGTGTGTGAGAGAGAGAGAGAGAGAGAGAGAGAGAGAGAGAGAGAAAGAGACAGACTCTATCATCTATCTATCTATCTATCTATCTATCTATCTATCATCTATCTATCTATCTATCATCAGTTTTTGCAAGTGTTACCCGATTTAGCCTTTAAGGTAGTAATAGCCAATCATGAAATTGCAATTTTCCACATAATTTTAAGTTTGATCTATTCTGTTCTTCTTTTTCAAAACTGTTTGGATGAATTTGAATTAACAGTAAAACCAGAATTAAGCATAATCCATTTATTTCCTTCTATTAGGAATTTCTCTTCCACATGGAATTGTAGCCTTTTTTTCAGAAACAAATAGGTCACAAGATCATAAGCATATTAGCAATTTAGAAAGAAAGAGAACAGAATGAAGCCTTCCCAGAATTTATAATGAGTCATTACACATGCAGCCCAGTCTCTTCCACCATGATATAATGCAAAGTGATGTGCAGAACCTGACTTCAAGGACTGCCATAGCCGCAGTTATCAGAGATACACTTTCTTTTTCTAAATTGAACATAGGAAAATGGGCTTGAACGTTTTAGAAAGATTTTCAGTAATAAAGACTGAAACTAAAGGTGTTTGGGGTGAGCCAGGAAATAGCCACAATGCTTAATTCTCTGGTCCATGTAGGTTGAGTTTTTATTGAATCTATTTTAAAAAGAAAATGTATTGAGAAAACAAGAAATTGATATGTTTAAATAGATACTCTGATATATTGAAAAAAATGAATAGTTCCTAAGGCATGGTTATACTAGTATTTGCAAAATATATTCTTTGTAATGCTCACAGAATTGTGATTAGTCAAAATGTCCATTATTCAAAAGGTTGTTTTTTGTTGTTGCCATCGCTTTAAATGCCTTTTTGTTCTTTATTTCTATCCCCTCCTCCCAATAATCACACAACGTTCAATCCCTGTTAACAAAGTTTAAAGGACTAAGGGAAGGTTAGGGGATGTGCTAAATCACCATGGCATTGATGTTAGTGAAATGAAACTGAATTTTATTTTATTTATTTACTTTTTAAAACATACTTTTATTGATTTCAGAGACGGAGAGATAATCATTGATTGGCTGCCTCCTCCATGCCCCACACTGGGTATCAAGCCTGCAACCTGGGCATGTGCCTTGAGCAGAAGTTGAACCGTAATCTTCTGATTCATAGGTTGACGCGCAAATGCAGAGCCATGCTGGCCAGGCTGAAACTACTTTTTAAAGTAGATACCTGTAATTGGTGCTAAGTTAGTTATTTAACGGTGTTCTAGTTGATCTTGTCTGTCCCTAAGCCAGGGCCTAATTCCATCTATAGAATATTAAGTCATCAGTGTATGTAACACTGTTATAGTTTCCAAGGAAACGGAACACCTTTCTTGAAAGATATTCTCATTCTCAGATATCTTTAGTATTTTTTATAGATTGGCCCCCCTCCCCCAAATTTTTCATTACTATATATAATGGAACTGTTTAAGAAAATTTTTGTTAGGATTAATGTGGATAGATTTTCTTATACTTGTATATTGTATAGGGGTGTGTTACTATGGATAGGGGGCGGGGACCCCTCAGCCTGGCCTGCGCCTTCTCGAAGTCCGGGAGCCCTTGGGGGATGTCTGACTGACATCCTTAGTTCTGTCTCGGTGATGAGAGAGGCTCCCGCCACCGCCACTGTGCTCGCCAGCTGTGAGCCCGGCTTTTGGCTGAGCGGCACTCCCCCTGAGGGAGCGTACTGACCACCAGGGGGCAGCTCCTGCGTTGAGCGTCTGTCTGCCACCTGGTGGTCAGTGTGTGTCATAGTGACTGGTTCCTCCCTTTGGTTGATTTGCATATTACCCTTTTATATTATAGGATATTTTTTACTTATTTCAGAGAGGAAGGGAGAGGGAGAGAGAGAAACATCAATGATAAGAAAGAATAATTGATTGGCTGCCTCCTCCAAGCCCCCTACTGGGTATCATGCCTGCACCCTGAGTCAGCAACCTGGGGATGAGTCCTGACTGAGGATTAAACTGTGACCTCCTGGTTCATAGGTTGATGCTCAACCACTGAGCCACACTGGCTAGGTCGGCAGACAACCTTTAGGGAGTTAAAGCCATTTAGTTATGTCTCTTGATAACCCTAATCTGATTTTGATGGTTTTCCTTTTTTTTTTTTTTTGGTTAATCATCACCTGAGGTTATTTTTTCCATTGATTTTTACAGAGTGGAAGGGGGAAGGGGAGAGAGAGAGAAAGGGAGAAACATCTCAGTGAGAGGGATACATCGATTGGTTGCTTTCCCCCTGTTTCCCAACTGGGGCCGGGCATCTAACCTACAACCCAGATATGTGCCCTTGACCAGGAATCGAACCAGTGACCTATGGTATGTGGGCAGACACTCTAACCACTGGGCAACATTGCTCAGGGCTTTCCTTTTTTCATAAGTGCTGTGCTTAAAATATTTATACATCTATCCAGAATGTAGTCTTGAAAACAAAAAAACGAGTAATTCTTTATAGTAATTAAAAAGTGATTCCTACTGAAGTAGAGAAATCCTAATCAAAGAGGTTCTTTTGTGGAGATTCTGTCATCAATTCAACAGTATTTACTAAATGCCTAATATGTGCCAGGCAATGTTGTAGGTTCTGAGACTACATTAGTGTGAGTAAAATCATCTTAAATACTTGCCTACAAGGAGCTTACGTTCCATTGGGCAAGATACACAATAAGTATAATTATAAAGTGAATTATATAATTTGTTAGAAGGGAGTAAGTGCTATGGGAAAAAGATAGATGGTAACATGAGAGTATTGCAATAAGGGTGGGGTAGTAATTTTATTTATTTTTAAAAAAATATATATTTTATTGATTTTTTTACAGAGAGGAAGGGAGAGGGATAGAGAGTTAGAAACATCGATGAGAGAGAGACATTGATCAGCTGTCTCCTGCACACTCCCAACCGGGGTTGTGCCCGCAACCAAGGTACATGCCCCTGACCAGAATCGAACCTGGGACCCTTGCGTTGGCAGGTCGACGCTCTATCCACTGAGCCAAACCAGTTAGGGCTGGGGTAGTAATTTTAAATAGGGTGGCCAGGGTAAACCTCATTGAGATAGTAATATTTGAGTAAATACTTTAAGGGGGTAATGGAATAAGTCACATGAATATCTGAGGGAAGAACATCCCAGTTAGAGAGAGCAGCCAGTGCAGAATTTTTGACTTGCATTTGAACCAGTTATGACTGTGACTTAGTGCAGCGTGAGCTAGGAGGCAACTACTAGGAATTGAAGGGAGAGAGGCTATGAGCATTGAGGAGATCTTTTAGTCCTCTGAGTACTTTGGCTTTTACACTATGTATAATTGAAAATAAACCCTAATAAGATCAAGTAGGATTTTTCTTTAGAGGTCAGGAGAGAAGGTAAGCAGTCAGAGAAGGAACTTCTAGTCTTAGGATAGCATATATTAATGTTGTATCCTAGACATAAGTTTATAGCAAAACAAATAAGATTTTTGCTGATATTTTCTACTTTATTTTTGATTGTAGGGACTTTCAGTTACCTTGATGATGTCCCATTTAAGATAGGAGACAAATTCAAAACACCAGCTAAAGTTGGTCTACCTATTGGCTTCTCCCTGCCTGATTGTTTGCAGGTTGTCAGAGAAGTACAGGTAAGTGGTGATATTTAGTTAAAGTTCAGTGCATTTAAAAATTTAATGAGTAAGAGTTGGATGTTTAGTGAAATAGAAAAAAAACCCCATTCTCATATCTCTTATTTGTTTTTCTTATAGCTTTTTATTGCTTGGCTTACATTGTGTCACACACACACACACACACACACACACACACACACACCCCTATATATCTATTAAAGATCTTTTGTAATGTGTTAGATTGTATATCCTGGAATTCTATGCCTTGTCCAAAATGAATCCCCATTGCCTATCTTACTTATTTACTTCTTTTCCTTTTCTTTATTAATATCCTCATTATCTCTCTGTCACTCGAGTTAGATAACATTTTTCTCTGTTGTGTCTCCCCATTACTGTCTAGTCTATCCATGTTCCCTCCAAACTAGGTTACTAGCAATTTGTTGAACATACTGGGTATATAACATGCTTTTTCTCATGAGCTGTTATCTCCATTTGGGGTATTTTTTTCTTTCTCACCGTACTAAAAGCTGTTGCTCTTCTAGAATTGTGCTGAAATGCCATCTTCTCAAAAGCTTCTTTCTGAACCCTCTCATCTTTAAAGCTCAGTTACATATAAATGTATATATAGAATTCTTGAAAACAGCAAAGAGCCCTATGTTATATGACTTCCTTTCTTCCTTCAGTACACATTTATTGAATGCTTGCTTTTGAGTGGTGCTCTGCTAGGCTGAGGATAGAGAGAAATGCCTTAATCGCTGTCCTCAAGGAGCTTACAGTTTAGAGAAGGAGTCAGGTGGAAAAACAGTACACTAATTCAAACTTCTTCCTGTGACTTAAGATTTTTTTAAATATACTTTTTTCAAAGTTGTTTTGTTTATGGGAGATTTAATGAGGCATTAGCATGTCATTCTAAAAAGGATTCTTTGTTGTATCTTTCAGTCTATATGCAGTGAGTAATCATAGTGGGAATATTTCAGTTATGTTTTCAAAAATAACAGCTTTACTAAGATATAATTCACATACCAAAAAAATCACCCTTTAAGGTGTGCCAATAAGTGGATTTTAGTATATTCAGAGTTGTATAATCATCATTATGATCTAATTTCAGGACATTTTCATCACCCCCAAAAAACTCCAGTGCCCATTAACAGTTACTCCCTATTTTCCCTTGTCCCCAGCCCTTAGCAAACACTAAATTTACTTTCTGTCTCTATAAATTTGCTTATTCTGGACATATCATATAAATGGAATAATACAACATATAGCCTTTTATAACTGGCTTATTTCACCTAGCATAATGTTTTCAAGGTTTGTCCATGTTGTATGAATGAAATATTAGTACTTTATTTTTATGGCTGAATAACAATCCATTGTATCGATAATACCATATTTTGTTCATCAGTTGATACATATCTTAGTGGGTTCCACTTTTTGGCTGTTAGGAATAATGCTGCTATGAACATTTGTATACAGGTTCTTGTGTGGACATAGGCGTTCAGTTTTCTTGGGTAAATACCTAGGAGTGGAATTGCTGGGCCATATGGTAACTATAACCTTTTGAGGAATTGCCAGACTGTTTTCCAAAGTGGTTGCATTATATTATCACACTCACACTACACGAGGGTTTTAATTCCTCCATATCCTTGCCAGCTCTTGTTATATTCTGTCTTTATACACTCTTCTGTAATAGTCTCTTATTGTGGTTTTGATGTACATTTCCCTAATTACTAATGATGTTGAGTATCTTATATATTTTTGAATACTGAATTGATTGATATTCCTTTTGTGTATGGAGATTATTGGACCAGAAAAGATATAGATTTCCCTTATAATGTTTTACCTTGTTTCATTTGCAACAACAAATATTTGGTAAACACCTCTCTGTGTAGGATACTATTAGCAATATGATTAAAAAACACCTCCATCTTTTTTTTTATAATTCTTTATTGTTTAAAGTATTACATATGTCTCCTTTTTCCTCCATTGATCTCTCCCCAGCCATTCCCACCCCCTAGCACATGCCCTCACCCCCCTACTGTCTGCGTCCATGGGTTATACTTATATGCTTATATAAGTCCTTTGGTTGATCTCTTACCCCACCCCACGCTCGCCTTCCCTCTGAGGTTGGATGGTCTGTTCAATGCTTCTCTGTCTCTGGATCTATTTTTGTTCATCAGTTTATGTTATTCATTATATTCCACAAAAGAGTGAGATCATGTGATACTTATCTTTCTCCGAATGGCTTATTTTGCTTAGCATAATACTCTCCAGGTCCATCCATGCTGTTGCAAATGGTAAGAGTTCCTTCTTTTTTACAGCAGTGTAGTATTCCATTGTGTAGATGTACTACAGCATTTTAATCTACTCATCTGCTGATGGGCACTTAGGCTGTACACCTCCATCTTTTATTCTCATATTATTCACCACTTCGTTGACCCATTCAGAAAACTTGTTTTGAATGCTGTGAATTTTCTGTTTATTTGATCAGTGTTCACTATACTCATAGCACCCAGTAGTAACAAAAAGGGAAATCTAGGCTCTGAGCTCTATTCCAGTGTGGGCCAGCTGAAATTTTTTTGTTCTCTAATTGCAGATTAGCATTAAATTTTGACTGCCTGGGGTCTCCATGGGGAATTTGGCTGTGGTATTGGTGCTGGATCCTTCCCAATACAGAGAAGAATCAGACCTAGAACCATAGACAGCTAACTTGCAGCTTCCTATAACTTTGCCTTATTTGCCCTTACATGGTAGTACAAACTCCATTTTTCAGCTGAAAATTCATCAAGGGGAGCCAGTGAAAAAAACATACATAACCCTTGCACCCAGGGCCCAGAAAGCTTTCATTGAATGCGGTGGTAGTGGTAGCCACAGCAGTGGGGGTGGCCCTTAGTGTAAAGGTTTAGGGTGGATTCTGGTGTCACTCAATCATGGACTGGAATTGCCATGAATCATCTTGTATAGATTGCTTAAACTCCCAAGCCTCCATTTCCTCATCTGTAAAATGGGAATAATTACCTTTTAAAGTTATTGTAAGGATTAAACAAAATAATGCACTTATAATGCTTATTCTGGTTTCTAATACTCCATAATTGTTTTACTGTTTATTATAGTACACTCAAACCACACTCTTATCTTTCACTGTAATATTTCTGCTATTTTTTCCTGTATTTTTCTATGTTCCATGTATTCTTCATTACTTTAGTAGTTAAAAACCAAAAGCTTGGTAAAGATTTTTATTTAAAAGGAAAGAAATTTCCAATTATTTTTGGGAATAAAACATCGGACACCTGTGTTTACAGGCATCAGGAAGTTGGTTACAGCCTCAGTTTTTGGTGGAGGAAACCACTTGGAAAATTGGATTTCCTCCACAGTTACAAGCAGCAGTCTTTGCCCAAGTGCTGTTTTCTGACTATGCTGTTAGTGATAGAAAGGAAGCACTGCAAACCTCAGGTGTCTTTCTGATGCCCAGCAGCTGGCTCGGGTGTAAGTGAACTTGGTATGCGCATTTCCAGGCTTCTCTTGTGTAGTTTGAAGCTGAAAGGCTTGGGAATGACCAGAGGTTTCTTCTACTCTTTTCTCTCCTTTCCCCTTCTTTTACTCTTAATGTGTCTCCAACCTTGAATGTGCACACCAGACATGGATTAGCTTTGGTGCTTTAGGGTGAACATCAAAGGTTTTTCCTCCTATCCCTGGGTGGATTTAGTTTCATATAAGAGTGTATTTTTTCAGGTGTGCAAATGAAATTTTTGTAAATTGAGCTGTATACTTTAAGGCAGGGGTGGGCAAACTTTTTGACTCGAGGGCCACAATGGGTTCTTAAACTGGACTGGAGGGCTGGAACTAAAGCATGGATGGAGTGTTTGTGTGAACTAATATAAATTCAAAGTAAACATCATTACATAAAAGGGTACGGTCTTTTTTTTTTTTTTTTTAGTTTTATTCATTTCAAACGGGCCGGATCCGGCCGGGCCGTAGTTTGCCCACGGCTGCTTTAAGGTATTGTTAAGGATCCATTAAGTAAATTCTTATGCAATTTGCTCTGTAAAATCTTAATTTGAATATGTCTAGATTTCTTTTTTTTTTTATAATATATTTTATTGATTTTTTTACAGAGAGGAAGGGAGAGGGATAGAGAGTTAGAAACATCGATGAGAGAGAAACATCAATCAGCTGCCTCCTGCACACCTCCTACTGAGGATGTTCCCGCAACCAAGGTACATGCCCCCGACCGGAATCAAACCCGGGACCCTTCAGTCTGCAGGCCTACGCTCTATCCACTGAGCCAAACCAGTTAGGGCGTCTAGATTTCTTAATAAGCAGTTTTCCTGCACTTAGAGTACAATCTGTTTATTATAAGTTGATTGTGGTTTTAAGAAGCATATTTAGTTAGATTGCCTGGGTTCAAATCCAGGCTCTACCACTTAATAGCTTTATTACCTTGGGCAGTGGTACCTACTTTAAAGGGTTGTTGAAAAATCTAGGGTTATTGCATAAACTCTGCTTCAAATCATGCATGGTACTTTGTAAGTGCTGCTTAAATGTTAGGGACTGTTATTATCCAGCACATGATCTATTAGGGCATTTGTGTTAGATAATAGAGACCTTAAGACCTAAAGCCCAGTTTGCTGCCCATAAGAGGCTTGTGATATTGTCGGGGAAGTGTTTGGAGCAAGGGTGAGATCATCTGGCCCGCAGGCCGTAAAGGCCTGTGAGATCACTTGGTTGGTCTGGCCTTGCCAAGGCATTAATTAAATGTTTGACCAAATATAGCAGGCTAATTTTTAAGTTGATAATTTTGTATGGTCCGTGAATGATGTTACAAATATACAAATGGCCCTGGGCGGAAAAAAGGTTCCCCACCCCTGGTTTAGAGAAAGATAAAAGCTACTGTGGTCACATGTGCCCTGCATCAAATGATAGAGACAGATCTTTGTAAGACTTCAGAGGAAGGAATAGGCCAACAGCAAAGCATCATAGAACTGATGGCTGAGCTTTGAGCCACCAATGAAGAAATCTAGGAAGGGACATGGCCTGAGGGGAGAGAAGCAAGGGAATGTGACTGTAACATTTGGCCTGGTGCATAGGACTCGAGGTGGTGGGAGCTCTTTTTAGTTAATTTCTAGAAGTAATCCGGGAGCATACTTTGATTAAATCCTATAAAAGTAGGAAGCCTTAGTCTTCTTGAGTGTAGATCATCCAATACACCTGAAATGCTGCACTGGGGAGGGGCAGCCACTTGGGTTTACATCTTCTTTCTCTGATATATCTTTGCAGTATGACTTCTCCTTGGAAAAGAAAACCATTGAGTGGGCTGAAGATATTAAAATCCATGAAGCCCAGCGGGAAGCAGAGCGGAAGGCTGAGGAAGCAGAAGCTAAAGTGAATTCTAAGAGTGGCCCAGAGGGAGATAACAAAATGAGCTTCTCCAAGACTCACAGTACAGCCACAATGCCACCTCCTATTAACCCCATCCTTGCCACCTTACAGCACAACAGCATCCTCACCCCGACTCGGTACAGCAGTACCATGAAACAGAAAGTTCTCAGCCCACCCCACACAAAGGCAGATTTCAATCCTGCTGACTTTGAGTGTGAAGAAGACCCATTTGATAATCTTGAGTTAAAAACTATTGATGAGAAGGAAGAACTGAGAAACATTCTGGTAGGAACCACTGGACCCATTATGGCTCAGTTATTGGACAGTAACTTGCCCAGAGGTGGCTCTGGATCTGTGTTACAGGATGAAGAAGTCCTGGCATCCTTGGAGCGGGCAACACTAGATTTCAAGCCTCTTCATAAACCCAATGGCTTTATAACCTTACCACAGTTGGGCAACTGTGAAAAGATGTCGCTGTCTTCCAAAGTGTCCCTCCCCCCCATTCCTGCAGTAAGCAATATCAAATCCCTGTCCTTCCCCAAACTTGACTCTGATGACACTAATCAGAAAACAGCCAAGCTGGCAAGCACTTTCCATAGCACATCCTGCCTCCGCAATGGCACGTTCCAGAATTCCCTAAAGCCTTCCACCCAAAGCAGTGCCAGTGAGCTCAGTGGGCATCAGAGTCTTGGGCTTTCAACTTTGAACTTGGACAGTGGCACAGAAATGCCAGCCCTGACCCCTTCTGATATGATATCCCAGATGCCTTCCCTCTCTGTCTTGTCTGTGTGCACAGAAGAATCGTCACCTCCAAATACAGGTTCCACGGTAAGCCTTTTAAATCCCCCTAAGTTAAAGCTCCAAAGATTTTTAAATTCTGCTTAGCAGTTGCCATCCTCACATTCTTTTTAAGGTTTAGGGCAAGATGGGCATGGCCAGATTGACCTTGCTTATACTATAAGTATATGTAGTTCTGGTTATTTTCCTGAGGACAAGGATTATTAGCTCTCCACCTTACTCGAGTTGATGTTGGCTTGTTCCTGCCTAAGCAATTCTTTTCAGTGGTGCATATCTTGTGTTTGCATTGTTTTAAAGGCTTTCTTTTTTTGTACCCTTTAACTGTTTCCTATTACCTTCTTTGTTTTTTGTTTTTTTTTAAGATTGCTTGGTACTCTTCATTATATTTTCTCCCTACCTCATTCTGCCTTGAAATTTGGTTCCTGTGTGTACCATGGTTCAGCCAATTTGTGGGTGTTTCTTCAGACTGGGTGGTGCTTTAGTACCTGGGAGATAATTTGTATTGGAAGTCCAAGAAAAACATAGAAATTTGTCACTTTAAACACATTGGTTTTAATGGTGCAATTCCTTTTTTTCTCTCTCTGCTAAGAATTTTGCAGTTTTCTCCAAAGGGGGAGAGAGGGGAAGGTGGGGATTTAGATTTGATGTTTAGGTATGAGTTGGTAAGAGAGTTGCGTCTTGTGCCAGCCCTGACCCCTTCTGATATGCTATCCCAGATGCCTTTCCTCTCTGTCTCGTCTGTGTGCACAGAAGAATCGTCACCTCCAAATATAGGCTCACCTCACATGCAACTTTTTGTGTGTGTGACAAAACCAGATGATCTTTTAGAAAATCTGGTTTTGTCACACACACAAAAAGTTGCATGTGAGGTGAGCTTGCTTTGTCACAGAGTATATACATTGTTGCATTCTAGGATAGAAACCATGGACGTCAGATTTTCCCCTGCTGTTCCCTGTTTCTTTGACCAGTCCACAGATTCTTTTTTTTTTTAATATATATTTTATTGATTTTTTTTTTACAGAGAAGAAGGGAGAGGGACAGAGAGTTAGAAACATCAATGAGAAACATTGATCAGCTGCCTCCTGCACACCCCCTACTGGGAATGTGCCTGCAACCAAGGTACATGCCCTTGACCGGAATCAAACCTGGGACCCTTCAGTCCGCAGGCCGACACTCTATCCACTGAGCCAAAACGGTTAGGGCCAGTCCACAGATTCTTAAAATGAAAGCATATCAAAGACAGTATTTAAATCCAGAAAGGAGCCTGATTGTATTGTTGGGATATCTCTCAAGACACCATAAGAAGCCTGCTATTAGTTGGTAAAAGGATGAGCCTTGGCCTGCACAGTGAGAGTAAGGTCCCAGCAATAGCATTCTTGGTAAATTATTGTCTCTGTTTCAGTGCTTCTATTGTCAGAGAGCTCACTGCTGCTTGTAAATTTCCGTGGGCTCTAGCTGGTTTGGCTCAGTAGATAGAGTGTCAGCCCTTGGACTGAAGGGTCCCGGGTTTGATTCTGATCAAGGGCACATAACCTTAGTTGCAGAGGCAACCAGTATCTCTCTCATTTTGATGCTTCTCTCTGTCTCTCCCCCACTTCCTTTCACTGTCTCTAAAAATTAATGGAAAAATATCCTCCAGTGAGGATTCACACAAAAAGAAAAACAAACAAAAACACAAAATACTCTGGTGCTACCTTCTAGAAATCAGTTCCTCAGAGACTTTAGGGGATACTCTGTTGACTCCCCAGGGCAGTATTTCTTTAAAAAACTTTAAAAAAAATTTTTTTTATTGATTTCAGAGAGGAAAAGAGAGGGAGAGAGAGATTAGAAATATCAATGATGAGAGAATCATTGATCAGCTGCCTTCTGTACACCCCCTACTGGAGATTGAACCTGTAACCTGGGCATGTGCCCTTGACCGGAATTGAACCTGGGACCTTTCAGTCTGCAGGCGGACACTCTATCCATTGACCCAGACTGGCTAGGGTAATATACTGTATATTTTAGAAATTAAATGCACTCTGGGAAGGATTAGGGATCCTCAGCTACCTCCCCACCCTGACTCCCCTTAAAGTTATAGTAACCATTTAGATGAACTAATGACAGCTCTTTCTCAAACCAGAACACTCATCATTCTTTGAACCACCTGATTGTGGAGTTTCTTTTGGATCCATTCATTTTAGGGTGGGAGAGGCTCTGTTTCTTGCTGGCCTGGGAACTTGCTGCCCATAGAAACAGAACCGTTCTCTAAGGAAGTCATGACCCTTACCCTCAGGGAGCAAAGCCTGGTTTCCATCCTGGCCCTCTCTCTTAGTATGAGTCTTTGAAACCCACAGTGAGAACCTTTCTCTGTGAGAGAAGCTCTTTCCTCCAAGAGAGTCAGTGACTTCAGGCCAGGGGGAGGTGATGGTGTGGTCATCTGGGCTGTACACACACTTCACTTAGGAACTCCCAGGGAAGTATTCCTGGAATTTGGTTCTTGTTGGCTATTTTAGGCCCAATGTTTGGGTCTTAGTTTTCAGATTTTGACTTCATGTTTTAGTGTTTACATAAGCTAATCTTAATAGTTGAGAAATCCATGGGATCATCTTGAGAGAACAATCTTATAATGTGCCTTTATTCTGAGTCGAGTATAAAACTGCCTGACTTAACTCTAGCCAGTATCTCTTCCCACTGTGCTTGCTGATAGTTAAACTTCACTATACAGTGGGGCCTTGACTTACGAGTTTAATTCGTTCCGAGACTGAGCTCGTTAAGGAGATCGTTAACTCAAATTACTCTGTCAACTCAATGCAAAAAATCGGCCAGAGACAGCTGGTATCTCAAAAAACTCGTTAGTTGGGACACTCGTAAGTCAAGGCCCCACTGTAGATTGAAAGTTAATTGGCTTTGAGGGGAGCTCTGCAAAATGTTAACATGTGAAGGTCTTTGTGGCTGCTATAGTTTCTCCAGAGAATTGTGCTTGAGGGCTAAGGAAGCTTGGGTAAGGCTGCTATAGACTTTTACTTAATCCCTGTTTTGGTTCTTGTCCCTCTCTCTGCTGTATGCTATGCCTGGTGTCTTAACCTCCTTTTTGTTGTTTGGTTCTCATTTTCTAGAGACAACCTTCTGCCTCCTGTGGAGGGTGAAGATGGGTGGGAAAGGTATTTATTGCCTGAGGTTTTTACTGCTCTGAGCACTCATTTTGTGCTCTTGCTTTATCCCAGCAGTACCTCTTGCTTCCAAATACTGAATCCCTCTCCTGTTTCTCACTTTTAATTTCATTGCTTCTGTTACCTTGCCTCTTAGCTTCAGATTTCCCCTGCTGTTCCCTCTGTTTCTTTGACCTTAAAAGTTAATAGTTTTTATTATTTTAGTAGGCTTTGGGGAGGATCATTGTCAGTTTGCTGTGTTAAATGAAATTCCCCCTTTGAAAAATGCTAATAGACCTCCATTTTTCAACTGATGATCAGAGCCCTGTGTCAAGCCCATATAGCCAGGCCCCCAGGATTCAGAAATGCCTGGTAACTAACCTCTAGGAGCTCACATTAATATACTTTGATGCGAAAAGTACTGTGCCACCAGTGTGACCAAAATGCTATTTGGCTGTTGGTATTCTTGTGCCCAGGCAGAGTCTGACCCTGGAGAGACAATCTTGGGGCCTGCAAAGTGGCCAGATTGGTGTGATCCAGTCCCTATGATCTGTGTATTGACTCCTGTAACACTGTGACTGTGGGTTAAATGGTTGAGTGGAAACAATGGATTTTGAGGCCTGTAATCTTAGCTTTTCCCAGCTGACTTTGAGGAGAGCATCTGGTTTTAGCTCTATAATTTTGAACTTGCTTGTAGGACAGCAGACTCCCTGTCTCCTAACCCCATGCCCACATAAAAAATAAAAATTTGTTGAAACATTTTTCCTGGTTCTTGGGAGCTGGGCCAAACTGCAGAACAGCTAGTGACCTTGTTCCCATGGTAGTTTGGTCCTTTGGCCTTCATGCCTTGGGCCTGAGTCATTATCAGAAGAGATGGGAGGAGTTAATTATGGGATTCTGTCCAATAATCAAGACTGGGGTTAGTAAGATTGGGTGGCAGGGAGCAGGCTGCCTATAGCTAGTGCATTCCACATTCCAGTCCTTGAGGCACAGCCTGGTGTGGCTAATATTCTTCATCCCTGGCTCTGTAGGACAGCAGCTGTAGCAGGGAATCGAAGCACAGTGTGGGGCAAAGGTGGAGCACCCTCAAAGCTCTCGGTCCCTGAGCTAACCATGTGTGGGCGGCCCAGTGATAGAAATGAGGATAGAGACCTTGTTGGAAGAGGCAGCTCCAGACTTTGGGGTGTTTGAGGTGAATGATCCCTTCACAGCCTAAGAAAGGGATAATGGAGCTCTGGCAAGAAATCATAGCAGCCAGCTTGGGCTTCAGTCCTGTGGGCAGCCTCAGAACTTCAACTCACGCCTGGAGGATTTGGGATGGAAGGGCATGTGGCTCTTGTGGTGCTTTCTCATTCTGCAAGGTGGGCTGAGGTAGAGGACAGCCACACTTGCAGAGATGTCTTCCCAGCTTCTCTCTCCTTAGCTGGAGCTCCCCACTGCTCTTCATTCCTCTTCAAGATGTCTGGCCAGCAACCTGGCCCTTTCTCCCAGGTAGACTGCTTCGACTGGGGCTTTGATTAATGTCAAAAATGGCAAACCCCTAGATTGGGCCATTTCAGTAACAAGTCTTTTGGACTTGCTTGTAGGACAGCAGACTCCCTGTCTCCTAACCCCATGCCCACATAAAAAATAAAAATTTGTTGAAACATTTTTCCTGGTTCTTGGGAGTCCACATCTTCTTGCCTTGATCCTCTTGTTTCTTCACCACTAGGCCACACCTCCTAAATTCTCAATGTCACAAGTGCCCAACACTCCCAGCTGTCCCCAGGCTTATTCTGAACTGCAGACGCTGTCCCCCAGTGAGCGGCAGTGTGTGGAGACAGTGGTCAACATGGGCTACTCCTATGAGTGTGTCCTGAGAGCCATGAAGAAAAAAGGAGAGAATATTGAGCAGGTGAGCATTTGGTTGGTGGGGAGGGGAGGTGTGTGATCAGCCAGAGAGAAGTCCCAGTCCTCTGGAGCTGAAGTAGTATCAGTGTCTGTTCCTGTGAGTTTGGGGGACACAGGCACTTTCTTGGGGGAAACCAGCAGCCTCAGCAGCAGTGTTTCTGCTTTGGGGCTGCTCTGGAAACTAGGCCGAAGGAAAGCCTTGGGAGTATTGGAGCTGTTGGACTGTTATCCAGCTACTCTCCCGCTTCTGCCCCTCCTGAGAGCATATCCTAGGGTTGAGATATGGTCAGGTTTCTCCCAGAAATTTTTATCCTGTCATAGCTACCCAGGGAGTTCCAGAATAGGGTACCAGTCTTAAACATTAGATGCATTTTCTGACTTGAGCTATTTCTTTTTTAAAATAATTCTTTATTATTGAAACTATTACATATGTCCCCTCTTTTTCCTCCATTGACCCCCTCCAGTCCGCCCCAGGCCCTCACCGCCCCATTGTCTGTGTTCATGGGCCATGCATATATGGATACAAGGTCCCTTGGTTGATTACCTCCCACCCACCCATCCACCCCCACCTTCTCCCTGAGATTCCACTCTGTTCCATACTTCCATGTCTCTGGTTCCACTCGTTCATCAGTTTATTTTGTTACTTAGATTCCACATATGATGACTCGAGCTATTTCTTAGAGGAATACCCTGCCCAGGCTGTGGAGTTAATGTTCTAGGAGATATGAGTCAGCTATGACAGGAACTTGTTTGAAAAATGGCTACTCATGTTTAGAAGGGTGTGCCTGTCTGTTCAGCTGATAGTCACTGAGGTCCTGTTGTGATGGATACAGTTCAAGGCACAAAATTAAGTCCTGTCCAGGATCTAATAGCCAGGTTGGGGAGATGTCATACTTGCTGGCTTGTGTAAGACTCTTGGGAAACAGGAGTGGCAATAGGTGCTTAGACCTCTTATTTCTTTTCTTAGATTCTCGACTATCTCTTTGTACATGGACAGCTCTGTGAGAAGGGCTTCGACCCTCTTTTAGTGGAAGAGGCTCTGGAAATGCATCAGTGTTCAGAGGAAAAGGTAGGAACCTTCATGCCCTCTGGAAAGAAGACACAGTGTGTAATCTCCTGGGGTTCCCCCCGACCCACAATACCCTTTCCCTACCAGTGACTGCAAGCAGAGACAGTTGAAGCACAGAATTTCCGAAATGTCCAGCTACTTTGGGTGTGTTTGGGTCAGATGAAATGTTGGGTTGAAGACAATATCTGGAATCCCAGAGAAGGGAAGGGGAAAATGATCTGGACTTATAAAGCGCACTTTAGGATGACTGGGAAGATTGTTAGTCACTTTGACTAGCCTGCTTCTGGGTTCAGTAAATTGCCCTGGTGGAAGTGGAATGTGGGTGGTGGGACTGGAACAAAGGTTAGTAAGAGTTGGCGCTGTGGCATCAAACTGTCGGTCCCAGCTTCCTCCACAGCCCTACTCTGCTAGGGCAGCGGTCGCCAACTGGTGGGCTGCAGGCCACTGGTGGTTGGTGAGGTCCAAAAGGTTGGCAACCGCTGTGCAGAGGGGACCTCAGAGAGGCTCAGATGGCTCTGGCGAAGGATACATCCCTTAAGCAGCCCCCTATACATATATTTCTCCATTCAGCTGTGTGGCCAGACCCCTTCCTTTAATCTGTACTCTCTTCTGTCCCTTAGATGCTGGAGTTTCTTCAGTTAATGAGCAAATTTAAGGAAATGGGTTTTGAACTGAAAGACATTAAGGAAGTTCTGCTATTACACAACAATGACCAGGACAATGCTTTGGAAGACCTCATGGCTCGGGCTGGAGCCAGCTGAGACCAGGCCCTGCCTAAACCCTGCCACGGAACCACCCCTGCAGGAGGCCCTGAGGAGCCCACCTGTGGGGAAGGAGAAGGGGCGCACGTCCAGATTTTCTTTTGGGGGTGGAAGGTCAGGTGTGGAGACTGTTTGCCAGTCTCTATGAGCCTAGGCCCTGAGCTGGGGAGAAAGTGGGGAAGATTTGGCATGTGAATGCCCTTAGAACTGTCCTGGCTCCTTCCATATTAAATGTATTTGTATTTTGAGAAGTGTCCTTCCCACCTTGGCCCTCCAGAGAGATGTCTCTGGTTTTTCTGGGGTCTGTATGTCCTCAGCTGAAACCTGGGCTGGCTGCCAAAAGGAGCCAGGGAGAAGAGGCTGGAGGGCCAGACTCAGTGCTGCTCTGGGGCTAGTTGCTTCCCTCCCCTGTACTGGTGGACTGAACTGTAATACAGGTTGAGTGCAATTGAAAGGTTCTTCCAGGGTTTTATTTTTCCCCCCTTTTAACAAAGTCTCTTAGTGTTACACTGGTTCTGCAATGTCACTGAGGTGCAAAGAATGCCCTTTCCCCATGGGGCCCTGAGTTTGCCTCTACTGCCAGGCAGTTACCATGCTTCCCTGATCCAGCCTGTTTCTTTCGGCTTGGTTTGGACCACAATCCTCTGCTGCCAGGATTTTAAAGCCCCTGCTCTAGGAAACAGTTGTCACATTAAGAAATCATTGGCCCCTTCCCAGCACACTGAGTTGGGGAGAAACAGGCCATGATTTAGTTGCCCAGCACTAACTCCACCTCAGTTCTCTTTGGAGAACAGCCTCTCCCACCAGTCCCCTGCTCTAGGATGACACAGCTAGTCATAGAAATCAGTCTCTTTGGTTTGTTTTGTATTATGCTGTACATCATTAAATATCTAAATATGGAGGATATACAGTCTTGATTAATCTAAAGTAATTTGCTAATAACTATTTTGATTCTTCAGAGAAAACTAATAAAAATCTAAAAGGTATGTCCCGCTATCAATTTCTTTATTGCCAAGGGCCATTTTACGTGTGTGTGAGTGATTTCCTGCTTAGATTTGCTTGCTGGGGATGAAACAGGACCTAACCACTTTGTCACTTCAATACTTCCTTCCTACTCTAGGCCTGGGAGACCCAGGAGCTGGCCCTCCAGTTTGCCCTGGTTTTGGTTCACAAAGGCAGGCCAAGAGGAAGACCTGTTTAAACCTGACCTAGCTTGGTCTCTGGACCAAGGACATATCCCTTTCTGTGAGACTGGCTGTTGAGGTGAGACAGGCTGGGCCTTTGGGGTAATTACCCAGAAATGAGGAAGAAGTCCCTCTTCCCGTGATCTCAGACGTTTATGTACTCTGTACCACAGGTAGGACTGGATGCAAACTGCTTCACCAGCTCTCAGTGGTGCTGTTGTAGCTGATAGAACTAGATTTATCCCTAAAGTTTCTTGTCCTTGTACTTAATACTGTCCTGTAGTCCTTGTTGTGCTCTTGGGTGGAGGTGGGTTTAATTCTTTTAGTGATCACTTGAGGGACTGCAGAGCCTTTGGGCCAGGAAGCACCAAAGTGGAAAGAGGCTGCCCTCTAGTGGTCAGATCAGGCATGGCCAGAGGTTGACAAAAGTTGACAAAGGATAGCAGGGCTATAGTCTCAGAAAGCCAGTTAGCCCCTCTACTTTTGGCCTTTAAAATTAAGCCCCCCTTTTAAAGCCATTAAAATTTATTCTTTACCTGTAGGCAATTAAAACTTCCATAGCATAATGGTTGTCGGGGCCAAGGCTGTGACACACGAATCGATTTGACCCATGGTGGCCTTGATAAATGATGGCCACCTGGAGGCCATTTTGCATTTCTTGTCTTAAGCTTCTTCCTGCTAAAATGATAGACAGCAAGCAGAACTCAAGTGAAGATTGTGTGTAAAAATTCTGCTTCAGAGTCTCAGACCGTTGACTAAAATACTTATTGCCAAGATACCGAACAGAGGCTATTTTGAGAAGGGGGAGTAGACCAGGGTTTTCTGGATGAAGGTGAGCTAGGAGATGGACTTGCCTGAGAACCACTAGTTCTTCAACTGTTCCATGAGTGGGTGTGATGGGTGAGGAGTCTCAGATTGGAGCCAGGAAATGCCAACAGGATTATGAGGGCTTTGGGGGCTTGTAAAAGGCTGATCATCCCAGCAAAAGGCAGAGATGGACAAAGAACTGGATTGCAGGAAGGGAGAAGAACTGAAAGCATAAAGTGTGTCTCACATCTTCTGCTGTTAAAGAAAGACAGCAAGTCAAAGTTTATTCATTTTACATTTCAAAAGCCAACCTAAAGCCCCAAATAATGGGGCAGAGCTCACCCTGCCCCTGCCCCACTGGCATGAATGTTTTAGTTTTTGGCTCAACAACAGGCACAGAATTCACCTGATAAAGCTCCTGGGCTCAGCATGTCATCTTCCCCAGCTTGTAACCTCTGGCCTGTAGGTTTCCACTGACTACCCATACTCTTAGTTTCAAATTCAGAAACATCTACAGGGTTATTCTGTGTGTTTCTACAGACAATGGGTAAGACAAATTCTCTTCCAGCCTCGAAGAAAAGCGAGGGGCACATTAAGATGCTCCTGCACTTGGAACTGAAGGATAGAGGCTTGTCCCTGAGAGAGGAGCTGGGGCCCAGCCAAGGCCGTGTGTGGCTATGGAGAGGCTAGCATGGACAGGTCCAGGGAGTGGGTTCTGATATCTGCAGGAATGATCTGGCAGAAGCTCCTCCAACCCCTGAGAACCTAGCACAGGCTCTTGAGCTGCCCCCACCACCCCATACTGGATTTGCTCTAAGACACCACTGTCCTCTCAGGGGCCTCAGACAGCCTATGGCAGGCCAGGTATAGCTGCAGCTGGTTCCTCAGACTCTGGATGCACTTGGACTTCAGAACCATGATTTCATCCAACTGGGTGACAAAATCTTCAAAATCCTGAGATAGGAAACAAAGGACAAATGGTGCTGTTGCTGGCCCTCTCCCAGACCTGCTTTTCTCTTGCAGCAAAACTTCAGAGCCCACGCCCTCCAGCTGTAAAACCTGCAGCAGTTACTATGGCACAGGGTGGGTCCCACTTCTCTGCATTTGGGACACTTTATATATAGACGTATTTTTCAGGGTAGGGGGTGTTTTTGTAGAAGTACTTCTATCTGCATGTGGCTCACGGTTACTGTCACAAGCAGGGCCCCAAATAAGCTGCTGGGAAGGCAGAATGGTGAAGGATAGAGGCCAGAAGCATTTTAGCCTGGGAATGGGGAGTGTAGCACCATCCCCCACCTGTCCTTGTACTCCCTGAAGCTATCCCAGAGGAGTGGCAAGAAGAGGCCCAAAGCCTCAACAATGGTTAGCGTGTGGCGCAGACCCTGACCCCACACCTAACCTCAGCAAACAAAGCTGACCATTATACTACTACAGACTAATTTCCAACAGCCCCTGAGTGTCCAGCCAAGGCCACTTACGTTAGGAGCCAGCTGGCTCATCAGTGTCTCCTCTTTGAAGCCCAACTCGGCCATTTCATCCAGCTGTTCCTGGTGTGCTCGGATGACCACCTGCCTGGGAACACCAGAGGGGATGCTGTGAACCTCTGGGCTCCCATCTCTCCTGGGTAGCTTTTAGGAGCTGAGCCCCATTTCCAAGCCAGGAGCTGGCTCTGCCCAAAGTGGTCAAGGCTCTGCCCAGGACCAACTCACCCAACCTCCCCCCGCCCGCACCTGTTCTCAGGACTTGTCAAGAAACTAGGAAATACCGGTGAGATACTGGGAGAGTCGGGGGCTTCTGGAACTGTCCCCTACCTCCCCTACACTAAGGGTGCTGTTTCTAGAGAGGAGCTGCCCACAGCTTCTCTGCAGAAAGGGTCAAGGCAGTGCCACTCCAGCTGGCACACTTGGCACAAGGTAGAGCCTGCTGTCATTTCTACTTCTGAGGGGGTCCAGGACCAAAGCGAGGGTATTTGACCTAGAAGCCAGAAGATCTGCCTTTTATCAGACCCTACCGATGGGCAAGACCACAGAGACAACAAGATTGTCTACCCAGGAGAGGCAGGCCCCCCTCACCTGATTCCTCTGTCCACAGCCCTGGCCTGAGCATCAGTGAGTAGCAGACAGGCAGCTAGCCTAGGTAACAGGAGCCCAAACAAAGGGCTGTAGCCTCATAAAGAAAGTATTTGTTCATCCTGCCCTCCAGCTCTGAGGCTTCTGATACTGTGAGGGCTTCTGCTAGGTCCTCCACCTCCTTTCTTTCACATCCTCTAAGGCTGCTGTCTCATCTCTGCTGCACCATCCACACACATCCTCACCCTCATTTTTACCTTCCCTGTCTTGGGAGGTACCCAACCTTAGCTTTGAGGACACAACACCACAGCTAATGGGTTGCTGGGCAACACTTCTGGGAACACAGACCCAACAGAATGAAGAGGATTCTGATCTCACCAGAGGTCATAGGCCTGCTTATGGGGACAGATCCTCCCTTCTCACATCTCAGTTTTCCCAGGCAGAGGCCTATCCTGGTAGGCCTGCCCCAACGTTTTATTCATATCAGATGCATCTAGACCAGCGGTTCTCAACCAGTGAGTGAGTTGCGACCCCTTTGGGGGTCGAACGACCCTTTCACAGGGGTCGCCTAAGACCATCAGAAAACATATAATTACATACTGTTTTTGTGATTAATCACTATGCTTTAATTATGTTCAATTTGTAACAATGAAAATACATCCTGCATATCAGATATTTACATTACGATTCATAACAGTAGCAAAATTACAGTTATGAAGTAGCAATGAAAATAATTTTATGGTTGGGGGTCACCACAACATGAGGAACTGTATTAAAGGGTCGTGGCATTAGGAAGGTTGAGAACCACTGATCTAGACCGATTTCCTTGAAAAGCTGAACAAAGCCTTTCTCTAGTTGCAGTACAGCTGACACAGCTAACCATAGCCATTCCCAAAATAGATAATACATTAAACTGGGGTGGGAGAGGGGTGCCAAAGGAGTTCAAGTCTCATGGAGAGAGTCCAACTTACTGTGCGTGCCCCAGGGTGGGCTGATGCAGTGTCCCGGCAGTCTTGGGAGAGCAGCTGGGAACCAGGGGAGAGCCTGGCCTTGCTAAGCACCTTTGGATTGGCCTATGTTTGAGCCAAGCAATGTCCTCATTGTAACAGGGCAACTTGATGGAGTCTTTGGACAAATCCAGCTCCTGCCAACCGAGCCCTGCCAGATGCTTTCTCTCCTGAACCCTGGGCTGGTCAGCCACACCACTGCTTCCTGTTTGTGGGGTGGGTGCAGGCTCACAGTGGGGTCTTCCTGCATGTATGCTGGGGAAGGGCTCTCCTGAGAAACCCTGGGAACTGTTCAGTTCTGTCTCCTTAGCACTGGCATCATACTGTTCACTAGCCATGTGCTTCAGGGAAAAAAGTGCAGTCTCTCTGCTCTGGTTGCCCTCTCCCAGGTCAGCCTCCCTGTTGGGCAGCTTGTCGGGTGGGTACTGTCGGATGGGTGATGGGGACAGGGCTGGCAGATCAGCACCAGGCTTATTGTCAGGGGGAGATGATGAGAGCCACAGGTGACCACTTGTCAAAGACACTGGCAGGACTACCTCTTGATCACCAGATGGCACTGTGCGGCCCACAGATGGCCCCTCTGTGCCCGATAGACTGTGTGTAGCCCCATCCTGGGCTGGCTGGTTCAAGGGAGGAGGGCCCTCATCGTCGGGGTTCTCCAGGAGGGACACAGTGAGGGGAGCCATCAGCCCAGAAGCATATTCAGAGCACATGCCCAATTCCTCCTGAGGGGCTTCTCCTTGGAAAGGATGACTGGTTTTCACTGTTCTGGTTGCCACATTTAGGTTGCCTTCACCGAGTTCCTTCAGAGGTGTGCCGACTGTGTCTCTTTGGTCTAGGGATCCATCAACAGCAATGAGGGATAGCGAGGAAGTGAAATCCTCTTCCTTCAGGGATGGTGAGCTGCCCTCAGCCTGCCCAGGAACTTCACTTCTGAGGGCATCCTGTTTGAAATCCGAGGCTGAGCCACTGCCTCTTTTCTGGTTATAAACAAAGTCTACCTGTGAGCAGTAAGGCTTCTCTGCCAGTATGTCTCTGGGAGAAGGACCTGAGGAGGTAGAGTCCTCTTCTTTGCTCCAGTCCAAGGGCACTTTACTTGGGCTGTGGCCATGATCAGCTGCTGCTCTTCTGTGGCTTGTGGGGTTCCTGGCACACATCCAGCTTCCGGTTAGAGCCTTCTCATCACCATCCAACCTGGGGCTAAAAAGCAGACTCTGCTGCCTTTCAGCCACCTGCTCCTCAGGACCTTGTTCTCTCTGATGAAGGAAGAATGAGCCTTCGCTATTCTCCAGGGCGTTTCTGTGCTTCGTGGTCCTCTGACTGGAGACATGTGAGAAAGAATCTTCACTGAAATCGCTGTCATCAAGGTCCTCAGCTTGGGCTCCATCATGACTCTCAGAATAAGAGTGCAAGGGAGGAGGGGTCTCATTCTGGAGCTGCCCCTCTTGGGGCCTGTACTGGCATAAAAGCCTTTCCAGTGGTTGGTACTTTAACTTCTGTTGGAAGAGAGGTGGCTGCTGGAACTGCTGGTGATAAAAGCGCAAATGTTCCTCCCTCTCCTTCTGATGTGGAGGGATGTTGGTCCAAGCTTCAGAGGCAGGCCTAGCAAGCGTGTCCTCCTTGCTGCCCTGGCTGTACTCTGCTAAGTGGTGGACATTGCCAAAGGAGAGCTCAACCCGTGACACAAGCTGCTTCTGCACTGGCTGCACAGTCTGAACTTTCTTGCACTTGTTGGTCAGCTTACCATGCACCAGGTCTTGTCCTGGGCCAGAGGCCCTGCTTCCGCACCCAAGGGCAGTTTTGTGGCCGTTCTGATTTTTCTCAGAGCACAATGAAGCTAATTCTTCTTCCCTTTTTTTGGCTGACTGTCCAGACTGCACAGTTCCTTTGACAGGGCTAGTCTGAATGACCCACTCTTGAGGACTCCCTCTGGAACTGCCCTTTTTACCAGGGACTTTAGGAACAGAAGCAAACGGGATGTTGGGTGGGTGGCTGGCCAGAGGATGGGCCTTCCCTCTTGTGGAGCCAGGTGCCACCGTGAGTGACTGCGGAAGCCCCAGCTTGACTTTTTTGGGAGAACACTTATCCCCTGACAGGGCCACAGGGGAGCTCTGAATTCGTTTTGGAGAAGAGTTTCCAGATGTCCGATTTCGACTGGCAGCTGCAGTGCAACATTTGATGCCTTTCTTTAGTTCTTTGACCCTGTAAAGAACCATTTTATGTTAAATGTGATTCTTCATGTTCTATAATTCCTTTTCTACAACTTTCAGGGAAACAAAACCAAAGCAAAGTATTACAAGGACTGGGAGCCCTCTTTACTTGAACAAAAAAGGCCAATGTCTTCTCCAAGGATATAAACATGCACCCAACATTCCATAATCGTAAGTTTTAGAAATCACCACAGTCCCATGTCACTGACAGGCCAGAGGAGCTAGAGTCAGAACTTCACTACATCCACGCAGGGCCCACTCCACGCTCCTGGAGCTTCATGTCTCCCACTCACCCAGTCACTATTCCACAAACTGGGCCCTCTTTTCCTGAAAACCACCTACTTTCAGGCTTCTGAGAAAACGAGTTCCCTCAAACCTGCTGGACACTTCAGGAAGCAAAAGCCTTAAGGAAATAAGCAGGCTTGTGCTAATACCAATAAGGGAAAATGACCTGTCTATTCCCAGGGTTTCTCAACCTTAGCACTAGTGGTATTTGGGGCCAGGAAATTCTCTGTTGGGGGCGCTGTCCTATGCACTGTGGGATGTTTAATAGCATGGTTGGCCTCTACCCACTTCATGCCAGTAGCACTTCTCCCCCAGTACGACAATCAAAACGGTCTCCAGATATTGCCAAATGTTCCCAGGGAGGCAAAAATCACCCCCAGATAGAGAAATAGAAAACCATGTTCTATTCCACACAGAAATTCAGGAGAACATAGAAAAATCCAGAATTAGCTCTCTGCTAGGATTCAGTTGCCAAGATTAAAGTCTCTTACCTTGTGATACTTAACACAAAGACACTGTAAAAATTAGGAATGACAAGGAGACTTCAGGTGAAAAGGTAACTCTCCGGTGATTGGTTTGTAGATTAAAATCGCCTAACAGGGAGCAGTACTTCTGCCTGGGGGCTCCTGGACAATGTCTTTTCCATTGCTTTGATTTTAATACAATCCTCAGTGGGGGCTAAATGACCCCTCTGACCATTTCTGAAAACCAAGACAGTAAATCTGACACAAACTTGATTTAAATATTCCTTTTAGTCTGAGAAGCAAGGCTAGCAGATAACACAGCTAAGCAAAGAGATGTAGCAAGGCATGAATTGTGTCCATGGATGGGCCTTTGCTTAGGTGTTGCAGTAGGGCATGCATACAAAGAATGGGCTGGCAGATGCCACAGCAAGTCTAAATGGTTCCAAATTACTTCTTGTTATTCAAATAACCTTGGTGCCAGAAGGAATCTTACAGGTAATTTGGTCATGCTTCCAATATACTCTGCCTGTGACCAACGTCACTCCTGTCACAGAGCTCTCTTCTGATATACCTGTTGGGGTCCAGCTGGAACTTTATTTTTGGACGCTTAGCAACATTTTTCTAGTATGTGGAGAGGTGAAAATTTTAAATCAGAGAGGGGAAATTTTAAGCAATAAAATAATCCTCATTCTATGTGTGCATAGATTAATACCTAAAATTAGGCCTCATTTGAGCATATAAAACAAATGGCTTTCATATTTATTTTCAATAATTTATCAGACTACTTTGAATGGGAGAGATTGCTTCTATTGTACTTTTTCTATTCTTTTTCTTTTTAACCAAAATTATTCAAATAATCTCTCAGTTGTACTCAGTACATCCCCTATGATAAAGGGTTATTTCCATCTTCCTTCACTGAGCACTGGGAGGAATGTCTGTTGCTAATGATGAAGTTCAAGCAGTGATATGATGTCTATGATTTGGGGACTGGGTGGGGTTATGAAACAAGATCAGCTTAGAGTTCATGATTGTTGAAGTTGGGTAATGAACACAAGGGGGAAAAGAACTTCAAGCCATAGTGGTTTTATGGAAACAATCTGGATCATCACGCATCTTCTATCTGATCTCAGTTTGTGAGGTAGCCACTTTCTTCTAGCAGGGCTAATGTGCTGGCATTAGGAAAACCATGTAATAAAAGAAACCTCCTTCAGGAAAGGTACTTGGGGGACCTACTAATACCAAAAGTTAACATACACTGAGTCCTCACTACTGGGCATGGTGCTAAGTCTTCATACATATTACCTCAGTGGCTCCACATAACTGCTCTGTGAGGTAGGTGCTATTATTTCCTTTTGGAAGGAAACGGGGCTCAGAGAAACTGAAATCTTGTCCCAGGCCACTCAGGAGCTAGTGGCAGAGGCAGGGTATTGGCCCAGACAGTATGACGCCAGAGCCCAGTGTTGTAACCACTTTGTAAATGGTCTCTCCTATTTAAATGAGATAAAGTACACAGAAGGCCTCTCTCAAGCCCTGACACCTGGGAAGAGTGCCTCCTTTCATTTACAAATATTTATTGTGCATCTATTAGGTAGCAAGTATTGTCCGGGCAGCAGAGATATAGTGGAGAAAAAGGTAGATAAGGTTCCTTCCTGTTTTCATGGAACTTAAGTGATAGTTCATCTTTCTTTTCAATGAGTTTCATAAAATGCCCTGGATACTAAGATTCTTCAACAGTAATAAAATAACAGGTTTCCCTCAAATAGTTTGTTAGTCTGGAAACAACTCCTGCGAGACCATAGAGGAGGATGTGAGACAGGACCAGGCAGCAAAGAAGCCAGAGAGGATGGTAATGAGAGCACCTTCACCTCCCACAGGAAACACATGTCCACAGGTAAGAGGCACTAGGTCTGCCAACAGCTCCTGCCCTTCTCTAGGCCTCAGTTTATCCTCCTATAACGTCTGGGTTAGTTTCTTCTAAGTGCTTCTGCCTTGACAAGTAATATGTATTATGTCTCTTATAATTAGGGCAGAGGCTAGTGGGAAGATTCTATTCCAGAAAAATATTTCATCTCCCATTAGCCATTTAAAAGCTACTGAACAAGGGAATGTGTCACCTTCCTCTTGTCACAGTCACATTTGTAAAATGCCAGGGCCTAGCAGATCACATTTTTCAAATGACCAAGTGCACAATCCCTAATGGACCTCAAGGTCAGATCTCCGTGTGTGCATGACACACACACACAGGCACGCACGCATGTGCGCATGACCTGCCGCCTGAGAAGGACTCACCGGTCAGCATAGCGCAAGGTGTTCAGCGTGTGTTCAGTGGCCACGTGGCTGGGTGAGACGTTGGCGATCATGCAGGTTTTGGCATTGCCGATGAAGGAATCTTTCAGGACCTGTCCAAAGCAGAAGATAGGCCAATGACGTCACCTAACAAAGGGCACACTGACTATTGTATGCAGGACAGGGGCCAGTTGCCCTGTCTACAAAAAGGAAATTCACAGAAGAAACACGAATAATAAATACAAAAAAAGGTACTCACTTCACATTAATCAAAGAAATGCAAACAGCCCGGCCAGTGTTGCTCAGTGGTTGAGCTTCAACCTATGAACAAGGAGTTCACGGTTGATTCCGGGTCAGGGCACATGCCCAGGTTGCTCGATCCCCAGTAGGGGGTGTGCAGGAGGCAGCCAATCAATGATTCTCATCATTGATGTTTCTATCTTTCCCGCTCCCTTCCTCTCTGAAATAAAAAAATATATATTTTTTAAAAATCTAATAAAAAAGAAAAGCAAACAAACCATTATAAAAACGAGTATTCTTTTCACCTGTAAGATTAAAGAAGACTCATGATACCCTGCCTTCTGAGGACCTAGAGAAACGGGCTCTCATAAACTGCCCATGTACTGTGTACTGTGAACTGGTACAAGCATTTGGGAGAGCAGTTTGGCAATAGTATGAAAATGTAAAAAATGCACACACTGGTTTGGCAAATCTAAGAGTTTATAACCAGAACGAACTAGATAACTGTAAACTCAATACAATACAACCATTCAAAATAATTATGTATGTCTGTACTTACTTACACAGAAAGAGCTAAAACTACTAGAGAAGAAAAAAGGTATGATTCCATTACTCTCTAGGTGGATCTTTTTTGTAGTTAATCCATACCAGAGGAAATTTTTTCTGTTGATTTTTACAGAGAGTGGAAGGGAAGGGGAGAGACAGAGAAAAATTGATGTGAGAGAGAGACATCGATAGGTTGCCTCCTGCATGCACCCTGACTGGGCCTGCAACCGAGGTACGTACCCTTGACCGGAATTGAACCCGCAACCTGTCAAGCCTCAGGGCCGATGCTCTAACCACAGAGCAACTGGCTAGGGATACAGGTGGATCTTCATATACGAGCGCAGAGAGATGCCTGGGAGGATGTTTACCAAAACGCAGCGGTGCCCTAACCGGTTTGGCTCAGTGGATAGTGTCGGCCTGCAGACTCAAGGGTCCCAGGTTCGATTCCGGTCAAGGGCATGTACCTTGGTTGCGGGCACATCCCCAGTAGGGAGTGTGCAGGAGGCAGCTGATCGATGTTTCTCCTCATCGGTGTTTCTGACTTTCTATCCCTCTCCCTTCCTCTCTGTGAAAAACCAATAAAATATATTTTAAAACAAACAAACAAACAAAAAAACCCAAAATGCAGCGGTGACTGTCACTGGGAGGTGGGATTTTCTGGTACCCTTCCCGTCTTCTTTGTACTTATATGTACTGTTTGAATTATTATTATTATTTTAACTAAATAGGGACACATTTTCTGGGATGAGGACTAATCACCTTTAAGAAGGGTTTCCTAGGTCCCTGGCTGAGTGTTTGGTAAGACACAATCGAATCCAAAATCACCAACTCTGCCTGATAAGTAGCTATGTTATTACAGGGTCTGCTCCAGTCCCTGTGGAGCTGCTAGTCTAGTTGAAACTTCTCCCTGAACACAACAATCGTCACCTCTACCTAGTCTGCCCTCTAGTGTGCAGGACTCAGTGAAGAAAGGAACCAGGGGCACCCACACTGTCTCACAAGTAATTGTACCAGGCAGACTCCTCCATGGGCCATCTTCTGCAGCAATTACAGATGCTGTCTTATTGGTGTTGTCTGTTAATAAGTCTGAAGCACATTTTTCATGACAGAAAATAAAGTAGAAAAAATTACCTATATATAGTTCTACCACTCAGAATAATCAGTTAACAAATGCACAATTTTTCTGTATAGTTTCTTCTCATTTCATATTTTAAATTATAGATCTTGATCGTCTTTCCTATCAGCACAGGTAAAAAATCTATCATTCTTTTTAACTGCAGCCATTAGTTTTTGTATTGAAACACTGGTCTAAGTCTTACAGCTAAGAAAGTACCCCTAAATCAACAAGGTTTCTTTACTTAGAAATAAGCAGAAAGCTGATGGATGATGGCCAAAAGAGCTTTGCTGCCCCCATGGGAGCCTGGCTACCTCACCCTAAGTTTCAATGCCTGAGTATGCTCCCCTCTCCTCCCATACATGAGAACTCCTAGAAGGAATATGACTCCTCCTCTCCCCCCACCCCCGGCCGTGCTTAGCATCATGCCTTACAGGCAGTGGATGCTCCGCTGAATGAACAGATGAAGGAACAAATGAGAATCAGAACAAATTCAAAACTCACGTTTAACATTACCTGAGTTAATTTGCTTTGCCGGAAGGGAGTATGGGTGTGTTCCTGATCCAGTGCTCGGATACATTCCTTCAGCTGCAAACAAGCACATCAAATATCATATGTGATGAGGATTAACGTCGAGTTGTGCCTCGGTAAGAGCCCTCAATTAAAAGCAGTAAGCAGCCCTGATAGCATGGAACAGACAAACCCACAGACCTTCCCACAGGTCCTGAGTCTAAGCTTATATAGTGGCAGTTCTGGCTTGCAACTGCCTCTCTCCCCCCACACTCCTCCCAACTGCAGAAGCATTTAGAGAAAATATCTATACCACTCCCCCCCTCTTCCCTGCTCACACGTACACACCTATATTGTAGCCTCAAGTGTCGATTAAAATATAAGCTGTCTGAATGGGGCAGGGAAAATTCTGGAGTCAGAGCTGGAAAGGAACTGAGAACACCTATGTCTTCCTCCTCATTTTAAAAAATCAGGGGCTGTGGCCTAAAGGTAAGAGCAAGTTACTTGCTCCTGGGATTAGCCCATCAGAGAAGTGCTCACAGGACATCACTAGTGCCAGCAGAGACCTGGATATGCAGACCTCTAGGGGCAACAGATAGAGCAAAGGTGGGGAACAAGATAAGGGAGGAGAGATCTATTTCTGAGTCATGCATCGAGGCTAAAAGGCAGTAAATGAAAAGGAAGGGAGGCAAGAGAATGGAAAGAATCCCTTGGAAGTGCCAGTGCTGGGAGTTCACCAAGAACAGGTAAGTAGCTTTGTTATGGCTGTTCTTGGTTGCAACCATAGATGCCTGCAGCTAACCCCTCTCTATCGAAGAAGCTGCAGGGTATAAGAAAATATAAGGGAGTTTCAATGTTCCCTTTTATTGCAAATCAATTCAATATCCCCAAACTTTAGCACTGGGAAGAATCTTCAGAATGGATGAACAAATAACCAAACCACGCCCCTGAGTTCCACCTGCCCCTTAAATATTCAAGTCTAAGTGTGGCCACCAAGCCCTATGAGTCTTTGAGAAATGGAAAGCAGATTTTACTAAACACTAAGACTATCCGAGGAAAATAAGAAAGAAACAAGGGGCACCTTTGTGCATCTCACGGAATACAAGCCTTTTACCCTATTCTAAATGGCTTGTTCCCAGGCCGTTTTACATGCTATTGCCCATGTGAGAGGCATAGTCAAGCCCCAAAGGGTTGTATGATTTCATAGATACTCCTTTCCAGTTTATAGTTGATTCCTGGGCCATAGTTTAAAAATCTGTTTTAAATTGATTTTTAGAGAGAGGGAGGAAGGGAGAGGGATAGAAAGAAACAAACATTGAGGAGAGAGGATCATCATCCATCAGCTACCTCCTGCTAGTAGGGAGCGAGCCCACGAACTGGGCATGTGCCCTGACCAGGAATTGAATCAGGGACCTCTTGTTCCTGTGTCAATGCTCAACCGCTGAGCCACCCTGGCTGGGATGGACCATAGTTTTAAATATGAGAATCACAGATTTCTAGCTAGAGACTGTGGACCCTTGGCTATTTACTTAATCCATCTGAGCCTCAGAATCCTAAACAGAGTTGTGAAGACTAAACTGACTAGCATATAGTAAGTGCTTAAAATGTATTGGTTCTGGGGTTCCTTGGAGAAATAGTTGACTTCATTAGGGCTAGGAAAGCACAAGGTAAGAGTGTGACATCTTGTAGTACCAAAAGGAAAGAAGATGCTCAAATAATGATGGGGTATGTCAAAAGGATACAGGAGCCAATTTGAAAAAATTCCCAAAAGTCAAATCTGGGACAATTTGAACAACAAAATAATGATAAAAATGGATTATAATCTAGCAATAAAAAAATCCATTTACTGTTATAAGTAATCTATCCTATTTAATAAAAGAGAAACATGGTAATTAGCGTACAACCGCTACCCTTCCCATTGGCTAATCAGGGTGATATGCAAATTAACTGCCAGCCAAGATGGCGGCCGGCAGCCAGGCAGCTGGAAGCTAACATGAGGCTTGCTTGCTTTAGTGACGGAGGACTCCAACATTCCCTGCCAGCCTTGCCGGCCTCTGAGCTTGCAGTTTGAAACATTGTAACAAATACAGAAGCTAAACAAAACCCCAGAAACCAGCGTTCAGCCTGCCAGGATCTCAGAGCTGGAGTTGATACTGTGTTTCGATTGTAGAACCCAAACAAACCAGATACCTACTTTCAGCAGCGAGGCCTAAGAGCTGGAGCCAGTTCTAAAGCTGGCCCAGAATAAAAAAAAAAGAAAAAGAAAAAGAAAAAAAGGAGCAGTTGGGAGCTTCAGTCACCCGCCAGCCTGAAAACAGCCCTCAGCCCCTCACCTAGACTGGCCAGGCACCCCAGTGGGGACCCCCACCCTGAAGGGTGTGTGACCAGCTGCAAACAGCCATCATCCCCTCACCCAGGCTGGCCAGGCACCCCAGCGGGGACCCCCACCCTGAAGGGTGTGTGACCAGCTGCAAACAGCCATCATCCCCTCACCCAGGCTGGCCAGGCACCCCAGTGGGGACCCCCACCCTGAAGGGTGTGTGACCAGCTGCAAACAGCCATCATCCCCTCACCCAGGCTGGCCAGGCACCCCAGTGGGGACCCCCACCCTGAAGGGTGTGTGACCAGCTGCAAACAGCCATCATCCCCTCACCCAGGCTGGCCAGGCACCCCAGTGGGAACCCCTACCCTAATCCAGGACACCCTTCAGGGCAAACCAGCCGGCCCCCACCCATGCACCAGGCCTCTACCCTATATAGTAAAAGGGTAATATGCCTCCCAGCACCGGGATCAGCGGAGCTGAGAGGCCTCCCGACACCGGGATCAGCGTGACAGGGGGGAGCACCCAAACCCCCTGATCGACCTGCGGCTCTGTGTGTGACAGGGTGTGGCGCCCCAATCCCCTGAACGGCCCTGCTCTGTGTGTGACAGGGTGCGGCACCCCAACCGCCCGCCCCCCCCCCCCCCCACAGGCCCTGCTCTGAGTGTGACGGTGTAGAGCCATAACCTCCCCATCGGCCCTGCCCTGAGTGTGACAGTGGCGGCGCCCCAACCCCCTGATCGGCCCTGCTCTGTGTGTGACAGGGGGCGGTGCCCCAACTCCCCTATCAGCCCTACTCTGTGAGTGATAGGGGGGAGCTCCCCAACCCCCTGATCCGCCCTGCTCTGTGTGTGACAGGGGGCGGTGCCCCAACTCCCCTATTGGCCCTACTCTGTGAGTGACGGGGGGAGCTCCTCAACTCCCTGATGGGCCCTGCTCTGTGTGTGACAGGGTATGGAGCCCCAACCCCACTGATGGGCCCTGCTCTGTGCGTGACAGGGGGGAGCTCCCCAACCCCCTGATTGACCCTGCTCTGTGCGTGACAGGGTACAGAGCCCCAACCCCCGATTGGCCCTGCTCTGTGCGTGACAGGGGGTGGCGCTGCAACCTCCCCATCGACCCTGCCTTGAGTGTGACAGGGGGCGGTGCACCAACCCCCCTATCGGCCCTACCCTGAGCGTGACTGAGGGTGGCATCGCAACCTCCCAATCCGCCCTGCTCTGTGCATGACAGGGGGCGGCGCCCCAACTCCCCAATCGGCCCTGCTCTGAGCCTGACCAGGGGCTGCACCTAGGGATTGGGCCTGCCCTCTGCCACCCGGGAGCAGGCCTAAGCCAGCAGGGCGTTATCTCCCAAGGGGTCCCAGATTGCGAGAGGGCACAGGCCGGGCTGAGGGACCCCCTTCTCCCCCCGCCGAGTGCACAAATTTTTGTGCACCGGGCCTCTAGTCTATATATAAAAGGCTAATATGCCAAGTGTCTGACCATCTGACCAGTCGCTATGATGTGCACTGACCACCAGGGGGCAGACACTCAACGCAGGAGCTGCTGTGATGCACAATGGCCATTTACAGAGAAACGGCACTGTGGATCTGGCGCCCACAAAGCAACACTCGGCTTTCCCCAGGTGGGACACAGGCCCCACCACCACCTCAGAGTGACACCCACCAAATTGCAGCTGACGCCGAGACCCCATGGTGCAAAATGTGCCCTACAGCCCAGACCAGCCCAGCCCGAAAACAGTGGCTGTGGGTGCTGGGTAATGACGTCACATAGCAATGCCCAACTTCCTCTCCCTAATGACTAGCCTTCTTGGAGTTTCTTCACAGAAGTCCTGGAGTAGGTAGATAGGAGACTCGGTGGAATTCTATTTTCTTTTCATTAGCCAGAAAATGGAGATTTAGAAAATTTAGAAACTTGACCCGACTGAAAAGAAGAAATGGTGGACCTTGAAAATGACTTCAGGTTTTCTCACTGTGCAGAATATAGTCAAACACTGCTACAGTTAAATATTTTACCCTTTGTTCTCCTTTCATGATCTATAATAATAATCTGTTTCATGTTCATATTTACTGCTGTGTTGCTGACAATTATTTGAAAGAGAAGTTGGGGTGCTTCACTGGGTTGGAAAAAGTTTAGCTAAATCAGAAAGCAGGCCTAATTAAGAAATTTATTCTATATCTATAAAAGGCTAAGCTGACTTGCACATGCGCGATACATATAAAGCTCTCGCTGGCGCCAATCACACGCGTGTGTCTCGATCTGTCAATGTCGATCGTGAAATAGGTTGACACTTCTATTATAGAGAAAGGGCGAATAGCGATATTAAAATATTTCTTCTATTATAGAGAAGGGACGAATAGCGATATTAAAATATTTCTTCTAATTAATTTCCTTTCAATTTTCATGAATTCGTGCACCAGGCCACTAGTATAATAAATAAATAAATTGGAAATAACCGCTCTTTCTTACAGCAAATCCAACTAATGAATGTAGAAAGAATAATGGGAATAGAGACTCCCATCAGGTAAACACCACAGTAAATGGATGCTAAAATTGGGCAGCAAAAGTGTGCCGTAAACAGAGTATTTGCATAGCTCCAAAATATCTTCCCATAATGTTAATTACAAAGGGAAAATTATACCCTTACAGTGGAAAAACTCAGCCCAAACCACCTTAATTAGGCTATCAAGGTTAACATCACCAGTAATAAGACATATTGACTTCACACACCACGTAATATGATACACTGAGAAGGATGCAACTTCAGTGGAATTCTTGCTAAAAATTCATTACCTTAATCTAATCATGAGAAAACATCAGACAAACCCAAATTCAGAGATATTCTGCAAAACAACTGCCCAGCATTCTACAATGGTTTAAGGCCATGAATGACAAAAACTGAGAAACCTATGGAGAAATATGACAACTACATGTATTACATATAGCATCCTGGACCTGAAAAAGAACGTTAGTGGTACTAGTGGTGAAATTCAAACAAGGTCTGTATATTAGTTAATAGTATTACAACAATGTTAGTTTCCTGATTTAGGATAATTTTACTATGTTATGTAAGATGCTAACATTAGGGAAGCTGGGTGAAGGAATGCTATGTATTTATTTTTGCAACTTTTTCTGTAAATCTAAAATTATTCTTTTTCTCACCTCTCTTAGCCTCCCAATTTATCCCTAATGTGGTCTGCAAATAATGTGCCTAGCTGGAGACTTCAGTTCTGATCAACAGGACTTAAATAATGGGGCACAGGCAACACTATTATAGCTGTGAAAAGTAACAAAGTTCTGTATAAACTGCTATGGAGTGAGCTCCAGGATACTGTTAAGTGAAAAAAGCAAAGTGCAGAACAGTATTTACAGTATGCTACCATTTTATTCCTGAGAAAAAGGGGTGAATACAAACATATCCTATATAATAAAAGCCTAATATGCTAAGTGTCCAGTTGACTGGTTGGCCATTCAACCAATCAAAGTGTAATATGCTAAGACCGCTCAACTGCTTACTTTGACGTGCACTGACCACCAGGGGCAGACAGTTGACCGATAGGTTAGCTTGCTGCTGGGGTCTGGCTGATTGGGACTGAGCGATCAGCCAGAGGGCTGGACACACCCTGGAGCCCTCCAACCATCCCTCCCTGGCTAGCCAACCTCCCGTGGTCCCACCCCAGACTGACTGTGCACTGGTGGGGTCCCTCAGCCTGGCCTGTGCCCTCTCCCAATCCAGGACCCCTTGGGGGATGTCGGAGAGCCAGTTTCAGCCTGATCCTGCAGGCCAGGCCGCGGGACCCCACTGGTGCATGAATTCATGCACTGGGCCTCTATATATATAAATAATTATAAAAAAGGAGGAAAATAAGAGCTGAGGGGACAAGGGTGGACACTAGACTTCTCTGAATGCGGCTTGTTTTATAATTTCTACTTTAACTGAATATGAAACTGATAAGCTTAAACACAGAGAAGAATTATTCCAAGTGACTTCCCAACACAATACTATGATTATATATACCTAGTGGGATACAACCTACCGATAAAAAGGAAACTGCAAAGAAGTCTTAATCTGAATTCAATAATCATATTATGAGTAATAATAGCATTATTTTAAAATACATATGTATTGAAGTAGAACAAATACACTGATTAATGTTTTAGAATTTAAGAATTCTAGCATAATAGAAAACGTAAAGAAATACAAATTCAAAACATTAAGTGAAAACTCAATAATCCTTTTTATTGCTACTTATCCTCGATATAGTTTTTATTTAACTTTTTTCCAAGTGAAATTTACATTCAATATTACTTTATATTAGTTTCATGTATACAGCATAACAGACAATCATATACTTTACAAAGTGTCCTCCTTGATATTTCCAGTACCCACCTGGCACCATATGTAGTTATTACAATATCACTAACTATATTCCCTATGCTGTACTTTATATCCTTCTGAATATTTTAAAACTACCAATCTGTACTTCTTAATCCCTTCACCTTTTTCACTTAGTCCTCCCCTCTGGCAACCATCAGTCTGTTTTCAGGCTGTCACAAATGGTAAGATTTCATCCTTTTTATGGCTGAGTAATATTCCACTGTATATATGTACCATGATCTTTTTTATTTTATTTAATTTTAAATCTATTTTATTGATTTTTTTTACAGAGAGGAAGGGAGAGGGATAGAGAGTTAGAAACATCGATGAGAGAGAAACATCCATCAGCTGCCTCCTGCACACTCCCTACTGGGGATGTGCTCGCAACCAAGGTACATGCCCTTGACCAGAATCGAACCTGGGACCCTTGAGTCTGCAGGCCGATGCTCTATCCACTGAGCCAAACTGGTTTCGGCTACCATGACCTTTTTTAAACACTCATCTATGATGGACACTTGGGGTTGCTTCCATATCTTAGCTATATTGTAAATAACACTATAATGAACATAAGGGTGTATATATTCTTTCAAAATAGTGTTTTGGGAAAACCCTATAATCCCTGTTATATTTTTCTCTTTCAAAAACATAATCTATTTCTTAGCTGTGTCCATCTTTTTAAAAAGATCTACAAGCAAGGACTAACCCAATGGTAGTAAGCACCCGTAAATAGTCTCTAAATACCATTTCCCTCTAAAACACTGGGCTTGATGAATAAATGGCTGATTCAAACCTGGGGAAGGAATTATGTACAAGATGAGCTTAGAACAGAAAGTCAAGAAGCTATCAGGGACTAGTAGGGTTGGGTCAAAGAAACACAGAAACATACTTGAAAAGGCTCCCACTAGCCAAAGATACACAATTTAAGCAGCAAGAGAATAATGATTATGATGAGTTTATAGTAATACAAAAACCAACAAAAAAGTAAACGAAAACAAACTCATTGGTCATGTTTAGGTTCCCAGGATACCAACTCATTCTGAAAACTGGTGAATAAAGGCAAAAAGTCTAGCATTTATCTTGCCTCCACTGTATGAACTATATTTCAGGATAATCAGATAGCTGAGGAAAAGTTCTTTCCAGCTAATAAATACAGAAAAAATACTAGAATTAGAATATCACCATTTTGTAATCCCTACTGAAACAATGGATATAAGTGATGAACATCAGTGGCTCTAAAGCTATTAGGTTAAAAAGGCTGATGGTAAATTTTATAATGGAGGAATTAGGCTGACAATACTTGAATCTTTCTTAATTCTTAAAATGACAAAAAGAAACAACCAGACATTCTGTACCTCTTAATGTGTTCCTATAGGAAGTCTAAGAATGACACATGAATTATTCCTGCTAAAAAAATATAAAACCTAAATCTGATCAATCCTCTAGTTCAGCACTTTCACAAGAGAAATGTGAGCTACAACTATAAACCATATGTTATTTTAAATTTCTAATATCCACATTAATATATTTTAAATATAATATTAAATACATAATCTAATTGTGTTTTAATCTAATTCATCCAAAAATATTATTTCAACATGTAATCAACATGAAAAAAAGAGCTATTTTATATGCTTCAAAATCTAGTGTGTATTCTACACTGAGTATATCTCAATTCAGACTCGCATTTCAAGTGCTCAGTGGCCACATGTAACTTAGTGGCTACATAGTGAACAGCACAAATAGAGATCTTAACCACTTTATAGAAACGATAAAGGACACAGTACTATGTTACACATCCACACGGTGATGCAGTCAGCCTGATCCAGACTGTAGGAAATCTTGTAGGATAATGACCCAGTTTTCTTAAATGAATATATTGATATAAAAAGAGAGAGAGAGAGAAAGAGAACTGATAATGAAATAAAAGAGACATATCAACCAAAGGATCTTGTTTGCATATTAATTTGAACAAACAAACTATAAAAAGACATTTATGGGATAACTGAAGAAACTATACTACTTAATATAATGGATAATAGATAACATTAAACAATTATTTCTGTAGGTATGATACTGGTATAATTATATTAAAAATATTATCTCATGCCGAAACCAGTTTGGCTCGGTGGATAGAGCGTCGGCCTGCGGACTGAGGGGTCCCAGGTTCGATTCCGGTCAAGGGCATGTACCTGGGTTGCGGGCACATCCCCAGTGGGGGATGTGCAGGAGGCGGCTGATCGATGTTTCTCTCTCATCGATGTTTCTAGCTCTCTATCTCTCTCCCTTCCTCTCTGTGAAAAATCAATAAAATATATTTAAGAAAATAAAATAAAATAAAATAAAAAAATATTATCTCATAATACAATATTTGTGGAAAAATAACATGATGACAGGGCTTCATTTAAAATAATTCAACTAGGGAAAGGAAAGGTATTGGGTAGATTTTTCACATGTTGACGCTGGGTGACAAGTATTTGGGAGATCATTATACTATTTGTTCTAGTTTTGTACGTTTGCAAAATTAATGTAATTTTAAAACTTGATGAGAGGGAGAAAGCTTACCTAAGTTAATCATTCGGTAATTTCAGAAATACTTCTCTATTCCTAATTGGCAGGGAGTGACCAGAGGAAGAGAAGACAGAGAGAATAGGGAAGAGTTGCCTAGAATTGCTGAGGATCTGATTGGGCAGCCTCCATTTCCATTCTTGGAAATCACTGCCAGATAAAAGCATGCCCTTGCTCTGTTGATTCCATCCCACCCTCACCCACTCTGGCTGCATGTAAAGAATGGAAAAATCTCTCAAGAAGGATTTTTAGATGAAAGCTTTAGAACAACTTACAGCCAGAAGACTCTGGTTAATTTCTGCGCCTTCCATCTTTGTCTGTCTATCTGAGTCTCTGGCATCTGCTGCTCTTTCACTGCCAGCCAAGTCAATGAAAGAGATCCTAGAGAAAAGACACAGCAGGGATGATTTCTTTGGAGCTTTGGTTTATTTTTGTATCAGTCAGCATTTTGTGACAGCCGGAAGAAATTAACACTGGCCCATACTCAGGAAAAAACACACATTACTGTCAGCTTTCCAAAAGTATTGCAAGACGCTGCTGGCACTGTTCAACCCGACACTTTCACTGGTTTTAATCATTCGTGAGAAAGTATGATTGAAATTAATAAAACATTCTTCCCATAAGGCTAAATGACCACAATGTAAATCACTTAGGGGACCACTTAGATAATTAAACAGAAACTTTTGTGGGCTGCTTTCCAGCCAAAAAAAAAAAAAAAAAAAAAGAGGAAGAAAGAAAAAAAAAAAGACTCATTACTCAGAGGTGAGATAGGCTCATCCATCAGTGTGGCAGAGTTTGCTAAGATAGCACCAGAGAAGCAATGAATGTACCCAATTGTCTTATGGTTTCTTTCAAGAAGGATGGATTAATTTTCCTTTTTCTTTTTTCGGCCTGTAAGCTCTCTGAGATGCATTCTCTGCTATTCCTCTGCTGATACCGTGTTTCACGTTAGAAGCAATCAATGTTCCTTATAATAACTTAGGGTTGACCAACAATAGGCCATTACTTCATGATTAATCAGCTGATGGCACTTCAGTATAATGATTTATTTCAGGGCTAACAACTCTACTCTAGCCTTGAAATAAAGAACTCTGTGGTGGCATGGTGTCCTGCTGTTGATAACACATATTTCAAAGTCACATTAGGAAAAGGCAGACAATGCAATTCCTGAATATTTCCAGCTCACCTGCCAAATGTTCTCTTGGCTGAATCTTTAATCTGAATTTGGATGATAGCATGAGAGCGGGAGGAGTCTGCATTTACTCCAGTGGCCCCAGTGCTGCGCTCCTTGCTGCCCTTCAGAATCACCTAAAAAATAAAGTCCATAGAGTGACTTCCCCAAGGAGTAAACAAAGCCCTCTGGCTCCCAAGAGTGGGCTGAATGCAACAGAGACCAGACATCTAACTTTGTCAGTACACTGTAGTTTTCCCCCCTTCATGTTGAAAGGGACCCAAACACTAAATCATACAGAGTAATGTATGATTCAACAGCAATGAAAATAACGTGGAATACTAATATTGGGGAGAACATTCAATAGCTTGAAAGCTCTCGATCTCATATATATTTTAATATCTTTGATGGATTTAGCCTGACAAAAATCCGTAGGGCATAATTTGGTTCCAAAGCAAGGTCCCCATAATTCCCACCTATTTTAGTAATTGAAGCAAAGGACAGAAATGTGCATCATGGACTGACTGATCATATCCACCTGTTTCACCAGTATGCAGTCATAAAGGGGGTCAGGCTTGATGTGTGGGAATATGGACTTGATGAGTTATTGCACTTGCCATGAGCCCATGATTTCCCTTGAGACCAATGACCCTCCACTCAGGAATAAAGACTAACCTAGGTGCCTCTGGCCACAGGGAATGGGGAAATCCTCTAGCCATTGAAAACACAGCCATATATGAATATGCTGCCCTTATTTTGGACAGGGGAAGGAGTATTAATTTCTGAGATTCAAAAGGTGAAAAACTTTAAATATACTGTTTGATAGAATCCTCACAACAGCCTAATGTGAGGTGAGTATTATTCGACCCCGTTTACAGTTGAGGAATAAACTCAGAGGTTAATTTCCTCACAAACAGCTGTTGTGTGGCAGAACCAAATTCCACATTCAGTATGTATGACTCCAAAGCCCATGTGGTTTCTACTACACTAGGGCACTGGCAATAAATTTATTTATACTGCAGTACATTAAAGGTAAGAAAGTCCTATCTCATTTTTTCTCAATCTTTCATAATTTTAATTTATATCATACTGAATATAGCTACAGTTTCCAAATTAAGAGTCCAAAAGTTTAACAATCAAACTTCCACAATAGGCCAAAAATATCTTAACAAGCAGGCGCTTATGCATTTAAAAATTTTAACTAAGTTCCTCAATGGTCTGAGTAATAGTTAATGTTTTTAAAGATTAACTGTGTGTGAGATTTGGAATTATATTTTAGAATGAAATTTAGAGTCATACTGTGAATGTACTAATTTTGTAAACAGTTTCCTAAAAGTTTAAAGGGACTATCTGATAAATCCTTCTGTGATGAGAAGAACCTGTTAATTTGTAAAACTAGATTATCAACTACATGGATAGCAAGTTGCTGCTAATCAGAAATCAGGAAAGTTAGAGCAGTAATCCCTTACACTGAGTGCGGTGTAAGTGCCTCCTCCCCCCCCCCCCCCAAAAGTACTGGATGTTGGCTAGTTCACTTATGGCCTATCTGTTCCCAAACCACCCAGCTTAAATGCACTTCTTCATCCTAGTAGGCTCTCCCTATCGCCCTGACTTCATGCTTACATAGACTGTAACAAAACAATGATGATGGATCATCTTAGATTTGTATTGTTGTTGTTTTTTTTCATTAAAAAATTAAGACATGCTTCCTGTGGAAAACTAAGCAAACACAGAAGAAAACATATACCGCCCATAATCCCAGAGTTAACAAGATTCTGGTTCATTTCCTCCTAGAGTTTCAGGGTTCTCACTGTTTTGTCTTTTACAAACACCACGAGAGAGACAAGAGAGATCCTTTAAATCTCCACATTTGTGTGAGCAATATGCTTGATAGATAAGGGAGGGATCACAGAGAAGTTAAGTGACTTATCCAAGGTCGCATTGGTAGAATATAGTCTAAGGATAGAAGCCAGGTGCCCTCTGCCACATATGAGTAATGATGATACTTCTGCTGGGACCTAGTGAGGACTCTGAGAGGCATCAAGGCTACACCTGGTCAGGAACTGTGGATACTGGCAGGAAGCGGAAAGGATAGCTCTGTGGTGAAATTCACCCCGGAGGAGTCAAGAAAGGCTGGCTTCTGGGTTCTATCATAGAGTTTTGTACTTGGCTTGTCACTGCACTTTGTCTACCATGAGGTACTAGGTACCCGTGAGAAAACCTAACATGTTGAGGCAACCTTTCCTGACTAAATGCCTTTTAGGGAAGGCACGAAGGAATTTCTGGTCCTTGGTCCAGTTTCCTGACCTTCAGTAATAGCTTGAAATCATCATAACTTTCAGAAACTGTGGAATAAAGCAGCTGAGCTCTGAGGAGTAAAAAATGAGGCAGTTTGTGAAGATCACCAGAAAAACTTTTGTAAATGACATACAACTCAAGTGTAGTAGTTAAGAGACTGAAATCTTAAGTTAGACTATCTGGGTTCACATGCCAGCTCTGGCACATGGTTGTGTGAACTTCTGCAATGTATGAACACTTGCAAAATCACTTAACTTTTTAGGGTCTCAGTTTCTTATCTATAAAAATGGTAATCTCAGAGGTTACTTATGAGAATTAAAAAGATAATACATGTAAAGCACTTAGTACCATGATTGGTACATAGTAAGTTTTCAATAAATATTAATTTTTAAAAAGATACTAAAGAACATCTCCATGTAAACTTCCAAAACTTAAACTATTTTCACAAATGTAAATCACTCAGTTTCATGGGGAAATAGAGTTTTATAGATCAACATGAGATTCCATGGGCTCCACAGTAGAAGAAAGGAAAAGAAAGCCTAGCCTGCGTGGCTCAATGGTTGAGCGTCGACCTGTGAACCAGGAGGTCACGGTTCGATTCCTAGTCAGGGCACATGCCTGGGTTGCAGGCTTGATCCCCAGTGGCAGCTGATCGATGAGTCTCTCTCATCATTGATGTTTCTATCTCGCCCTTCCTTTCTGAAATCAATAAAAATATATTTTAAAAAAAGAAAGCAAAAAGAAAAAGGAAGGAAAGGAAGAAGTGAGGGAAGGAGAAAGGGGGGGGGACAATTTACTTGGAGGAAATAAAAGTCTAGGAGTAGCCCGGGCCAGTGTGGCTCAGTTGGCTGTTTTATGCACATGTGTGTACGCACGCGCGCGCGCGCGCGCGCGCGCGCACACACACACACACACACACACACACACACACACACACACACGGTTGCTGGTTTGACTCTGGGTGGGGGCACATGCTCTGGTTGCAGGCTTGATCCCCCATAGGGGGCATGCAGGAGGCAAGTGATCAATATTTATCTCACATTGATGTTTCTCTCTCCCTCTCACTTCCTCTCTTTCTAAAATTAATAAAAGCAATTTTTTTAAAAAAGTCTAGGAGTAGCCGTCATTGGTTTGGCTCAGTGGATAGAGCGTTGGCCTGCGGACTGAAGGGTTCTGGGTTCGATTCCAGTCAAGGGCATATGCCTAGGTTGTGGGTTCGATCTCCAATAGCGGGGTGTGCAGGAGGCAGCTGATCAATGATTCTCTCTCATCATTGATATTTCTATCTTTCTCTCCCTCTCCCTTCCTCTCTGAAATCAATAAAAATATATTTTAAAAAAAGTTCAGGAGTAGAGCAAAATTAATGCAATCACTTTATTTATTTTTTTAATATATTTTATTGATTTTTTTACAGAGAGGAAGGGAGAGAGATAGAGAGCTAGAAACATCGATGAGAGAGAAACATCGATCAGCTGCCTCCTGCACACCCCCTACTGGGGACGTGCCCGCAACCCAGGTACATGCCCTTGACTGGAATCGAACCTGGGACCCTTCAGTCCACAGTCCGACGCTCTATCCACTGAGCCAAACCGGTTTTGGCGATGCAATCACTTTAAAAAACACTAGATTCCCTTTCCTCCCCCTTCTAAAATTCTTTCTTCTGAAGGAAGTATTTGTAGTAACTGAAGTCTATGGTGCAAGTTTCTAAATCTAGGTCCTTTAAACAAAGCATGTTGTGTGAGTAGTGAAATGGGGACCTGCTACAATAAAAAATAGAGGCAACTGCTGAATTCTGTGGTACTGGAAACATTCAGTGATTTATTAATAAGAATAATAGCTATGACAAATTGAGCTAGCATCACAGTAAGCATTTTATGTATGTTATCTAATTTCCTTGTCTATTACTAGACCCAGTCATCTACTATCATCCATATATTTCAGGTTCAGGAAAGTAAAGGTATGCTCAAGGATACACAGCACTGGGACCCAGCTCTGACTGGTTATAAGGATTTAATCACTAAGTTTCCTGCATGAATATCAAAGAAGGCCTATAGTACTTCAGTAAGATAGGCAATTATATACAACTGAGGCTCATCTAGGGGAAGCTCTTGCTATGTGGCCTCTGCTACCAATCATAGCCAAGGAAATGATAAAAAATAAAATAAAATAAAGCTGCCAGTTGTGAGACAGGTAACAGGTGGCCATATCTGAGTGAGCCCGAGGGTGATCTCTGAGGATAACGCTTGAAGATGATACCTAAGAGTGATACTTGAGCAAACACATGGGTGATACTTGAGTTAGTATGATACCTGAGAGACAGTGAAAGTGTGACATCTGAGTTTGCAAGTGCTGTTGTTTCGAGTCAATTAATGTTTATGAGGGTAACTGTGTCAGATATTCATAATTTATACCAACTTTCCATTTTGATCTCAGCTGGGCTTCCTTCTTGTACAACTTTGTACAAGTGTATCAATGGCAATGTTGACTAACAAGAAACTTCTTTCTGCTTTTCTCGGGAAACATACCATAGGATAAAGCAGTGCCATACACGGTTCCAGGGTGAAGAGTGTGACTTGACACCATAGCAAAGAAAAGAGGACTTCCTCTTGATTTTTTCTCCTTTCCCACTGAATTGGTCTAATCTCCAGGGACAAACACATAATGAGGACCAAATCTCGTGAAACTCTGGGGCAAAAGAACAAATGGCTGGGGAAAGTGGGGCCAAGGGAACAGGTATATGTGAAACAATTTCCTTAGGACTCCACAGTGGAGGTAGTTCTAGACAGGTAAGAATGGTCACAGCCTCAGGGGAGCCTATTCAACACATCCCACAAACTTTTGTTCTGTGCCTGCCTTAGCAATCCAAGGGGCTCTTGGCTCTTAGGTGGCCCTCTAAAACAGCCACACTCAGATGCCAGCCTGAGATTTTGGATCCCAGGACTCAGAAATCTAATAATCACACAAGTATGAGGCTGCATCCCTTAAACAAATTTGTCTATTTGTCCCAGGAAAAAGAAACTATTAGAAAAAGACATATCATTGGCGGGCCACCCTCCCATTTCATGCATCCAAGTCTGTGGAGGGGTATATTGTGAAGCTGTTCTAAAGGTGCATATTGTCAAGTACCCAGTCTGTCCTTCCAGCCTTCTCCCTGACTCTAAACAAAACTTGTTGGATATACTAGAAGATAACTATGATGGCTGCACATTAGAATCACCTGGGGAACTTTTTAAAAAATATATATTTTTATTGATTTCAGAGAAGAAGGGAGAGGAAGAGAGAGAAATACCAATGATGAGAGGGAACCATTGATTGGCTGCCTCCTGCACGTTGGACCGAGCCCGAAATCCAGGCATGTGCCCTTGACCAGAATTGACCCCAGGACCCTTCAATCTGCAGGCCAATGCTCTATCCACTGAGCCAAACCGGCTAGGGCAGTGGTCGGCAAACTGCGGCTTGCGAGCCACATGCGGCTCTTTGGCCCCTTGAGTGTGGCCACGAAGTTTCAATTGCACTGTAAGTGCGTGCCCGCATGTGGTATTTTGTGGAAGAGCCACACTCAAGGGGCCGCAGTTTGCCAACCACTGGGCTAGGGTAAGGTGGGTATTATTTTAAAAGTTCACCCTAACTCATTTGGTTCAGTGGATAGAGCGTCAGCCTGCAGACCAAAGGGTCCCAGGTTCGATTCCAGTCAAAGGCACATGCCTGGTTGCAGGCTCGATCCCCAGTAGGAGGTGTGCAGGAGGCAGCCGATCAAGTGATTGTCTCTCATCATTGATATTTCTCTCTCTCTCTCCCTCTCCCTTCCTCTCTGAAATCAATCCTATATAATAAAAGGCTAATAAGCAAATTGACTGAGTGGCGGAATGACCAGTTGCTATGATGCACACTGACCACCAGGGGGCAGATGCTCAATGCAGGAGCTGTCCCCTGGTGGTCAGTGCACTCCCACAGGGGGAGCGCTGTTCAGCCGGAAGCCAGGCTCACGGCTGGAGAGCGGAGCAGTGGTGGTGGGAGCCTCTCCACCTTCGTGGCAGCTCTAAGGAGCAGCGAGCCAAACAGTAATGAGCAAGGGGTCCTGGATTGTGAGAGGGTGCAGGCTGGGCTAAGGGACACCCCCCCCCCTCCAGTGCACAAAATTTGTGCACTGGGCTTCTAGTCTAATCTTAATAAGAAAATTATATTAAAAAGCCACTGAGGCATACACTTCTAAAAGGTGAGTTTTATGGTATGTGAACTATATTTCAATTTAAAATACTAATACCCACATCTGGGCCTCACCCTTGAGAAATCCTGATTTAACTGGCCTTACATGGACTCAAGCAAAATTAAAAGACATTATATAACTAGAAAGACAAGCCAAAGAACAAGACAACATGCTTATGACATATAACACTGACAAAAGACTCATATCCAGAATATACAAATCAATAAAAGACAGGCAACCCAAAAATGAGGAAAAAAATCCGAACTGGCATTCCCAAAAGAGGAAATTAAAAAGATAAGTTAAAAATAGTAAAAGCTCTTCAATTTCCTTCTTAATCAGTGAAATGCAAATTAAATATATAATTAAACATTTTCAAACAGGCAAAAATTCAAAAATCAAAGAAAGTGTTGGTGAGGATGAAGAGCAATGGGTTTGCTCATACACAGCTTGTGGGAGTGTGTACTCTATGTTGGAAAGCAGTTGGCATCATGTAGTGAAGTGGAAGATGTGCATTTCACACCATAACCTAGAGAACTCGTATGCTGAAATATGTGTATAAGAACATTGACAGACTCATTGCTCAGAAGAGACCCAGGTAGAAACAACCCCAATTATTCATTAACAGTGGGATGGTTAAATAGATTATGCTACATTCATATGATGGAGTTCTAACTGCAAAAAAAAATGAACTACAGCCATATGTAAAAACATAGATGGATCTCAAAAGGATAATGTTGAGCAAAAGAAGACACAAAAGATGTGATTTTATTAATACAAATTTAAAAAACAGGTGAAAACTAAGTTTATCTATGGATAATAGTCGGTAAAACTAACAAAGAACAAGAAAGTGATTAGCATAAAAGTTAGGAAGATAGGGGAGTATGATTGGGTTCTTGTGGGTGCTGCAATGTTCTATTTCTTAATGTGAGTAGTTGATTATGAAGGCACTTGTTTCTTTATACTGTACACATATAGGTTTTATGCACTTTTCTGTATAGTGCTTTTTCCACAATAAAAAAGGTTAAACAATTTTTTTTAAATAAGGGAAAAAATCCCCGATGATCTAATGTAAAGCCAAGTTGAGGACTACTTCCTTAAAGGGAGATTCACCAGAAATATATGTACATAAGTTAATAAAATTCCAGAATAGAAAAAAAAAATCTAAATATTCTAAACTATTAACAGTGGATATCTCAGTGGAGAAAGTACAGTAAGTTAAAGGAGACTTTATTTTTCTATTTTACATATTTTTTAATGTTTAGATGTAATAATGAGCAAGTGTTACTTTGGTTATAATAAAAAGATAACTTTTAATAAAAGAAGATTTTAAAATACCTTTGGAAGGCTATACAAAAACATTAAAACAGAATTAGTTGCCTCAGGAGAAGGCAACAGGAGGGATATTTTCATTGTATCTTTTGAATTTTGAGCCCCTGTGAAAGTATTACCTATTAAAATTTTTATTTAAAATAAGAATATTTCTCTCTAGCAGCTTTTCCCAGAGCCCACTACCAGAGAAATACTCATTAGCAGCCTCTGAAACTGGCCCAAGAGTATCCTCTCATGCATTAGGTTCTCTCACATGCCCTACCTCCCACAACCATGGCACTGAGACAACCAACTTAGAGAAAGAAGTGATCCTCTAAGAGGAGGACTCTCGTTTTATAAATGTGAAGTGGTGTGCTTGCCATTGCCATTTTCCTAACTAAATCTGAGTCCATCATACTTGCTAGATAGCAAAATGAATTCTTCCCCTGTACTTAGGCTGCTACAGTGGTGTAGTAAAGAAGGAAGGGAGAGTTACCTCTAACAGGAGCTCCACGCTATCCACCTGAACCTCTCGCAGTCCCATGATCTGTACCACGTGCTTGCTATCTTCTCTTGCGAAGAGCCTGCAGAGGCAAGAACATGTTATTCCTGAACATATTTCCCAGGCCCTATGCCCTGCGCTCACCCCAGAAAGGTTCCTAATGGACAGCCTAAAATATATATTGCTAGATTTTTAAATCCTATAAACAAGATTCTATCACTTTTTATGCAAGGGTATAAAAACAATTTGTCCTCTATTTTTTTAATATATTTTATTGATTTTTTTACAGAGAGGAAGGGAGAGAGATAGAGAGTTAGAAACATCGATGAGAGAGAAACATCGATCAGCTGCCTCCTGCACATCTCCTACTGGGGATATGCCCGCAACCCAGGTACATGCCCTTGACCGGAATCGAACCTGGGACCTTTCAGTCCGCAGGCCGACGCTCTATCCCCTGAGCCAAACCAGTTTCAGCTGTCCTCTATTTTTAAGAGTTAATTTAAAGCTCCTTAAACTCTGGATTCTAGTTTAAGAGGTGGACTGAACATATATACTTTTATCTACATTTATCAAAGCCCGACTATTAGTATAGAAAATATATTTTATTAAAAAAATAACAACACGCCGAGACCGGTTTGGCTCAGTGGATGGAGCGTCGGCCTGCGGACTGGGGGGTCCCGGGTTCGGTTCCGGTCAGGGGCGTGTGCCTGGGTTGCGGGCATATCCCCAGTGGGAGATGTGCAGGAGGCAGCTGATCGATGTTTCTCTCTCATCGATGTTTCTGGCTCTCTATCTCTCTCCCTTCCTCTCTGTAAAAAATCAATAGAGTGTGTTTAAAAAAAAAAAAAAAATAAAAATAACAACAGAACAAATTTAAAAAGCTCTAAACAAACAAGAAAGGGTGCCATCAGTGGACCAGGACATGTTAGAAGTCCCAGAATGGGAGGAAACAAAGAGATATTAGCCAATTAACCAGAGATACAAAAACAAACAAAAAAACACACAAAAAACCCCCACAGCACAAGACACTTGCAGAGTAAGTCTAGGTGAGCCCTAGAGAAGCTTAAACCCAGGACTAAGCATATTCCCATCCCCTTGGCTATAATCAAAGAATGCAAATATACAGGGCAATATACCTGGGTCATTCATTAAAGAATCACACAATGGTTGAATAATCTGACTGTCTCTTCACACGAACAAATGAACCACATACACAGCACAACAGTGGCTTTTATTCTCATGCCAACTATTATTTAGAGGAAGTGGCCATTCTGACTGGAAAGAGCCCCTAATAAGGTTGCTGGGACTTGGGACAGAAGCTGTGATTAAGCTAACTTGAGGCTTTAAAACCAAAACAAAGAGGTTAAAAAAGAAAGGCAACTCTTTGTCAAAGCAGCCCTAGAGCAGCACCCTCCTTAATTTGGCACAACTGAACCACCAAAATCTATACATTTTCTGATTGTGGCATACCGTCCCTTGTTATTGGTAGAGTTCACAAGACCATGGCTTGCCTAAACCCACTCAGTGGCCTCTCTGGTTATGCTACTCAGTACTCTAGTGCCCCTCTACAACGGGAGCTGATCCTATCATGTTTTCCCTACTGAACTGGAGCAGCTCCTCCACCTCCCCTCCCATCCAATACTCGCCTGGAGCACACAGAACTTTCATGTCCTTCTGGAAATCTTTGCTGTGGGGCTTGTCTATTTCAGATTTGGTTTCCCCAGCCTTCTACCATGTTCAGCCTCAACTCACTCCTTTCCACTTGGTGTTGTTACTCTACTCCCAACATGTCTCATGTCTGGTTAATTCTGTTATGATAAACTTTTATCCCTTCATCTCTCCTACTTCTTTTCTCCCTCTTTTTCCCCAGTAGATACCTTCACAATTTTGTTGACTCCTACTCATCTGTTTCAACATAAATAAAATTTTAGGCCATAAAAATACAATAGGGATTTAAAATCAGAGTTACTCAATACATTTCTAAGTTACTATTATGTTGCAAGGGCAACAGTTTAAGCTTTATAAGAGTTAACGGTCTAATGTGAAGTAAAGAGATTTTCTTTTCTTTTTACTGACTTAGGAGAGCTATCACGAAGCTTACCCTAAGATTATTGAGCAGGAAAAACAAGAGAAAGTGGAAAACATTATAGTTCTTCTAGTGTAATAATAGGTCAAAAGAATAAAAAGGGATTTACATATATTTTGATTTCCTGACCTCCTGAAATTAGATCTTTTTCATAAACCAAAATAAAAGGGACAACCTTTGGGTAAATATTAGGATATCGATCACTTTAAAAAATACTAATGAAAGGCTAATTTACGTCTTTCTCTAGCAAAACTGACAGTTTAAAAAATATGTATCTGATTCAGGAGACTCTCATTTCATGAAAGGGCATTAATGTACCAAACACTGTCATTTAATACCATGATTCAGTGGACTCTGGCTGAAAACAATAGTGAACAGATTCACAGTTTCCCACTCATATCTAGTACCTTTTTCTTCTATTTAGGAGGTCATAAAGCTGTCCGCAGTAGATTTCATAGAAGCTGATCCACACAAAGAGGTGCCTTCTTGGCTGGGGCACTTCTAGTTGCCGGAAGATGTCTTTCGCAGCCAGAGCATACAGTCCTGGGTTCTGATGAGTTCCTATCATGGTGTAGGTCTTTCCAGCACCTGTCTGTCCATATGCAAAGCAAGTGGCATTGCCTCTGAGGGAAGAATAATTTGTATTACTAATATATGAGAGAAATACTGATCTACCCGTAGATTTTTAATGACAAAAGTCAGCTTGAAAAAGAATATTTGGCAAAATTCAGCTATAAACATACAATCCTTTAAAGAGAGGAGGGCTTTACATGATAAAAACACAGGAAGAGGAAAAACAATTTTCAAAGCAGCACGTGAGTTTTCTGACAGGAATATTTTATGGAACTGGTAAGACCACAGGACAACTCTTGAGGATAAGGAAATAAGAACTCCTGCGAGATGCTTTAGAGCAGCAGTTGCCAAACGGTGGTCCGTGGACCCCTGGTGGTCCGTGAGGTCTGAAAGGTTGGCGACCGCTGCTTTAGAGGATCCCAGAGAACATGATATTGTGTTAATCTGGAAAGATAAATTTGGTGAAAAAATAAGAGAATCAAATCAATAAATAATAGATCATAAGATCAATATGATGGTAGTGACCATTCATATGAATATTAAAGACGTTTAGGCAGAGATGAAATCAACGTAAGCAAAATATTTGAGGAAGACCTCAAAGTTTTCACTTTTAGCAATAAATTGCTGGGTTACTTGATTTCTAAGATCCTCTCTAGCCCTGATGTCCTGTGATTCTAAGTGAGAATCACTATCCTTGCACGTGGAAAGATGTGTGTATACACTCTGTTTGAGTGTAAAGAACTACAGAATAAGAGGTGGAAAGGATAGTTAAAAGACCACCCGCCAATCATAGTATATTTTAAGAGGAGTTGGAGACTAAGATTACCTGAGTATTGTGGGACCAAACTATGTAGTACTAAATCACTCTGAGATCTGTACCATGCGCAACTCTCGTATTTATTGGTAATATCACAAACATTCAAATTCTAACTTATTTTAAAAATGTACTCTCTCAAACAGATTTGGTACATACGAAACTGAACCTGAAAGATATTTTACTTTTTTAGCTTACTTTATACAAATAATTATAAAAAATTTAAATAACTTCTACAAAACAATAATAAAAAGACAATAAAAACAAATGAAGATATATAAATGACCAATAAGCACATGAAAAGATGCTTAATATTATTAGGCAATAGGGAAATTAAAATTAAAAACACAATAAGATACATACAGTTCCATACCAATTAGATTGGCTAAAATAAAAAGGCTGACAATGCCAAATATGGTGAGAATGCAGAACTGCAATTCTCATATATTGCTGCTGGGACTATAAAGTAATGCATGGAAAACTGTTTGTCTTTTTTTTTAATTAAAAAATATTTTTATTGATTTCAGAGAGGAAGAGAGAGGGAGAGACAGAAACATCAATGATGAGAGAGAATCATAGATTGGCTGCCTCCTGCGTGCCCCCTACTGGGGGTTGAGTCTGAAACCCAGGCATGTGCTCTGCCAAGGATTAGAACCGTGACCTCCTGGTTCATATGTTAACGCTCAACCACTGAACTACAGCAGCTGGTCCTGTTTGACCTTTTTTAAATACACCTACCCTATGACCCAACAATTCCATTTCTAGATTTTTATCCAAGATAAATGAAAACATGTCTACAGAAAGACTTGTACAAAAATGTCTATACAGCTTTATTCATAATAGTGGGGGAAAAAATGGAAACAACCCAAATGTAAACCAACAGGAAAATAAACAAACAAATTTTGGTATATTCATAGAAGGAAATATTACCCAGCAGTAAAAACAACGGGTACATGCAACAAGATGTACTAATACAAAAAATACATTATGTCAAGCAAAATAAACCAGGCATAAATTTCTATTTCTATGACATTCTAGAACAAGAAAAACTATTTTCTAGTGACAGAAAGCAGGTCTGAGGTTATATAAGATCTGAGGATGATGGTGTGGAATTAACTAAAAGGGACACAAGAAAACTTTCTGGGGTGGTGGAAATGTTCTGTATCTTGTTCCAGGTATTGGTTAGTTGGATGTATACAACTATCAAAACTCATTAAACTTGAATACTTCTTAAGATCTGTGTATCTTTTTTTTATTTTTAATATATTTTATTGATTTTTTACAGAGAGGAAGGGAGAGGGATAGAGAGTTCGAAACATCAATGAGAGAGAAACATCAATCAGCTGCCTCTTGCACACCCCCTACTGGGGATGTGCCTGCAACCAAGGTAAGTGCCCTTAGCCGGAATCGAACCTGAGACCCTTGAGTCTGCAGGCTGACGCTCTATCCACTGAGCCAAAGCGGTTAGGGCAAGATCTGTGTATCTTACTGCATATAAATTACACTTCAAGTTTTTTTAATATTGTAAAAGTATTTTTAAAAAATCGCCGAAACCGGTTTGGCTCAGTGGATAGAGCATCGGCCTGCGGACTGAAGGGTCCCAGGTTCGATTCCGGTCAAGGGCATGTACTTGGGTTGCGGGCACATCCCCGGTAGGAGATGTGCAGGAGGCAGCTGATTGATGTTTCTCTCTCATCGATGTTTCTAACTATCTCTCTCCCTTCCTCTCTGTAAAAAATCAATAAAATATATTTAAAAAAAAAATAAATAAAAGTGAAAATACTCTGAAATCTGTGACTCTAGCAGATTGACAAATATGCCTACGTTTTAAATATACAATAGAAGCCCCTACTACCTTAATATTTACTAAGTGTAAATAATTATTTCAAATTTAAAAATATATATTTATGAAAGAGAGATAACTGACAGTCACTTACCTATTCTACTCCAAGGAAAAAATTAATAGCCAGAATATATAACTCCTAGTATCAAAAGTTCAAACTAACACCCTGACCGGTTTGGCTCAGTGGATAGAGCGTCGCCCTGCGGGCTGAAGGGTCCCGGGTTTGATTCCGGCCAAGGGCATGTACTTTTGTGGCGGGCACATCCCCAGTCAGGGGTATGCAAGAGGCAGCTGATCGATGTTTCTCTCTCATCGATGTTTCTAACTCTCTATCCCCCTCCCTTCCTCTCTGTGAAAAATCAATAAAATATATTAAAAAAAAAAAAAGTTCAAACTAACTCTGACCACTAAAACCTTTTTATTCTGAGGACTTTGATGAAATTATATTGTTGTCAGCTTATATTTTCCCACTAAGCACAGAGAATCAATATCATCAGTGTAAAAGAAAATCTTGCTGAAAATTTCTAAATGCTTGGTAAATTCTATAAATAGAGACACAAAATTTTTCAGAAGAGATTAATTTAAATTTGTAAGATCAAAACACAAATTAATGTTTAATTCAAAGGAACAAAAAAGCATAGCTCATATTTGTTTTTTAAAACATGATTTATGGAAAATAGAAAATAAAAAGCAAGAGAAGCAAAAATTACTATCATACCCATTGAAAATATGCTGAATGAGTGGGTGAGTAGTCTTCATATATACATCCTGATTGGTGCATGCCTCACCAAAGACTTCATCAAAATAAAAAACATGCTGAAAAAGAAATTTGGTTTTTATAGAAAGAGACATTTTCTTCACCACTATTCTAGTTAGCACATGATAAAGGCACAAATACATCTTTAAACTAATAGTAACTGACCGTGACAAACTTAGGAATAAACAAGCAATCAATAACTGTCAAGTGACAGGGTCTTCTTTTACTTGAGATCTCTGTTAGACATTTTCTTATAATGTAAAAAAATGAAGACACACAATTTTTATAAATTAAATTGATGAGTACAAGAGTGAGCCAATCCTCTGTAGATCCAGGAGAGAAACTGAATTCTGTGGAGATTATCCTCATATGCCCAGCTACTGCTAATGTATTTGACAATTGGGAGAAATTCTGGAGGAAGACCTCCATTCTATAGGTTACATAGCTCAACCTTTTTTTTTAATCCTCATCGAGGATATTTTTTCCATTGATTTTTACAGAGTGGAAGGGAGGGAAGGAGGAGGTGAGGGAGGGAAGGGGAAAGGAGAGGGGGGAACACTGATATGAGAAACACATTGATTGGTTGTTTCCTGCACACCCTTCCCCGCCTGGGCTGGGGATGAACCTGAAATCCAGGTACATGCCCTTGATCAGGAATCAAACCTGAAACCTTCCAATAGGTGGGCCAACAGTCTAGTCACTGAGTAACATTGGCCAGGGCTACATAGCTTAACTTCTAATTTCATAAACATTTACTGCTCATCTGGTAGCATGTGAATTACAGTAGGCACTTCAAGGGGCCCAAAGATAAAGATATTACCTGCCATTATCCCACTCTACCACCTAAAGATGTTAATACAGATGATTAAAGGTAGAAAAAAACTTGAAAGATAAGTACATGTGAAATTCAAAAGAGAAACATATTTCCTGATTGGGAAAGACTATGAAAAAGACTGTACTGAGAATGAGCCATGGGGAAAGAAGAGAAATTTGAGAGGCCGAGATAAAGGTATTCTAAGTAAGCACTATGGGAACATGAGTCAAAGCAGGAAAGCACAAGGAATGTTTAGGGAACAGGAAGAATTTAATGTGGTTGAAATATAGGATCTTGGTAGGTAGAAAAGTAAACAAGAAGACTAGAATGAGTTACGACTATGTTGTAGAGGTCTTAGGACTAAGAGAGGGGGTGAAATGTTCATATTTAATTCAGCAAAGAATAAAAAAGGGCAACAAAAATACTTTACAAGGAAGAGAGATAATCTGAGCCATTTTATTGGAAGATTAATCTGGCTTCACACTGTGAATGGACTGGGGAACAGGAACATTAGGTAGTTCAGGGTGAGGTAAAAAGGATCTAAATTAGATGATAATAATGGAAATAAAGGAGACAAATGCACAAAAAATTTGGCAACTGGCTGGATGTGAGAAGTTAGAGAAATGAATCCAAGATGACTCCCAAATTTCAAGCCTGAATGGACAGCATCATAATGGCTGTCCATTCATAATGAATGAGATATGAGGTCCTATCGTCTGCTACTTTTTGGACCTGCTGTAATATCTGGTTAAGGAAAAATTGTATGGGCAAGTCCAGAAAAGTGTATTTGGGTCAATTTACTGTGGGTGACTCTACCTCAGGTTCAATACTGTTTCATGTACTATTACATTACATTACATTACATTACATTACATTACATTACATTACATTACAATGGAAAATTGTTAGGTCATCTAAGAAGAAACTGGGGCCACAAAGCCGAATTTATCAGGAAAAAATCTCCAAAAGTTGGAAGGTGAGAAAATAATGAATCTGTGCAGCATCATTAAGAGATCTGTAAATAAAATTTTTAAAATGTAAACAAATAAATAAATAATAAAGTATTTAAGAGGCAACGGAAAAAAAAAAGAGATCTGTGAACTTTAAGTACTTTGAAAATATGATATGATTTCAAGAGCAGTAAAATGTTCATAATTGTTAAATCCGGGTGATAGGGTATATGCGGGTTCATTATACTTTTTATTAAGCTTGAAAATGGCAATAATAAAGAATAAAATATAGCCCTAACCAGTTTAGCTCAGTGGATAGAGCGTTGGCCTGTGGACTGAAAGGTCCCAGGTTCGGTTCCAGTCAAGGGCATATACCTTGGTTGCACATCCCCAGTAGGGGGTGTGCAGGAGGCAGCTGATCAATGTTTCTCTCTCATTAATGTCTCTAACTCTCTATCCCTCTCCCTTCCTCTCTATAAAAAAATCAATAAAATAAATTTTTTTAAAAAGAATAAAATATATATCTAAAATCTGACTTTAGTGAACATGATTTATATCTAACTCATAACTGGTCTTTAAGCAAGGAGTCAAATTCATTCATTGCTCAAATCTCATCAATGATCTTTATAGTTAAGTATGAGATAAAAAACAAAATACATTTTATATATTTGACACCTCTCAAGAAAATAAGAAACAAATGAACAGAAGTAAATGTGGGAATACATTTTTTGGCTTGTATATAATGGCTGTTTTTCCTTTTCTTCTCTAAGTATTAGTAAATAACTTTAGATCTTGAGTAAAACATCTTAGAAAAAAAATTAATTGATGAAAAGGATTAGTATCTTACCTTTCAATAGAATTCAGGTATCAAGTTTTCCAGTATTTTTATAAGTATTTTCATGAAGGATATGTAAACATGCAAGATTATTATAATTCATAAAGTCCTTTGCATCACATATACTTTCATTTGATCATACTTTATCAATGAGAGTGGATTTACACTCACTTTGACCTTGATATGATCAGGGTTCCATAGTTTATGTTTTATGTAAATTTTCTTTTCAGATTATAAAAGTAATGTGTATTTATAAAATATCTCTGGGAAGATACAGGTAGTCTTGTATCTTGTAACAGGTAATATTGGTTACCTTCAAAGAGAAAATGGGATTAGAGAGACACTTCTCACTGCATACATTTTTGTGCCTTTTGATTTTGAAATAGGTGAATCTATCATATTCTAAAATTTTTCTTTGTCCACATAAAATGAATAACACAGCCAACTCTAGATTCAAAAAACATGGGAAACAACAGAGAAGAAATTAAAATTATTTGTAAATCTTACTACTCAGAGATAGCCACTGTTGACTTAAAAAAAATTATTTTTTATAGGAGTTTATTTCAGCCAAACTGATGACATTGCTAGTAAGCAAGATCTTAAATGCTCTCACCACCATTGACTTTTGATATGCTTCAGTACCATCTTTTTTTTCCCTCTAATATTTTTTCTTTATTAAAGAAATTGGAGCCCTGGCTGGGTAGCTCAGATGGTTGAAGTGTTGTCCCGATACACCAAGGTTGCAGGTTTGATCCCGGTCAAGGCACATACATAAATCAACCAATGAATGTAAAAATAAGTAAAACAACAAATGAATGTTTCCCTCTCTCACTAAAAAAAATCAATCAATAAACAAAAATAAAATAAATTGGATTGAAACATACAGCTTTGTTTCCTTTTTTCACTTACTATATTGAAATGAAATTTAATGGTAAGCAGTTTAGCACACTACATGTATATGACCATATAGACTAAATCACAAAAGATGTGAAAGGATAGAATATTTAACGAACACAAACATATTGCTTTAATTCCTAAATAAGTTTAAAAATAAAACTCTAAGAATCTTGGATCAATATTTATTTGCTATAAACCTCCCTTTTCTTTCCTCTACTGAAGAAAGGAAAAAAGGTGAGGGAGCCCTCCCAATACTTTTATATTATAGCATTGATAGGTAAGGACTTTGACCTATGAGAGCAAAGGTCCAAAGTTCAAACAGAAGAGAAAGTGCTATGGAAATTATAGGTATTCAATAAATATTGATCAATGGTAATAACAAAGAGGTAAGGTTATTGTGTTTTGGGATAATGGAAAAATACAAAAGATAAGCTGATGCCTCCCAGAGGGAATTATTGTGACAGGAGCATCATTAAGGCAGTCCTGGGTAGATGGTGATTGGATAGGGCTATTACTATGGCTGTAAGTAGCTATACTAGATATCATTACAACTAATTGATCATTTGGACCATCTTCAAAATAAATACCTCCCACCTAAACCTAAAAGACTGTGCATTGACCAGCAATCGATAAAGCTATTAAAGTGACTGGGTTAGTTATATAGTGGCCTAGTAATTTAGTGCCCATTGAAAGAGTCAGTGGATTATTTTGAATGTTACTTTTAAACTCAATTTTGGTCACCAAAGAAGAATGCAAGTGTAAAAGGGGGGAAAGCGGTAACAATTTGACTTCAATGTTAAAGGCTTTGTTCCAGTCGAGTAAGATTTCAGTTGGCTAAGGTGAACTGCTAGCTCACTAGATTACTTACCACTTTTTCTTTCTACCAATCACTGGGTTTTGAGGCAAGAGAGTGAGTGTGAGAGCAAAGAGAAGAGGAGAATGAATATAATATGAATGTCATAGGGAGGCAGATTCAGAGTAAGAGAAAGTCCTAATCCCCATTTAGATTATTCACAACTGCTTCACAATTTTAGGAGTACCTAAGTTACAACATCTTCCATCTATGGGGTTTGCTGCTTCCCTATGAGACTGAAGAGCTAACAGTTTAGAGCTTATTTCAATACCAAATCCTTTCTCCTTGGACTCTTCATGATCATTCTGGCAGGGATTGAACATTTTTTGTGTGTTTGAGCAACTGGTGTTTTATTTAAACCCTTATATGTTACATGCGACATTATATCCCTGGATTATGTTCACCCACTACCCTGTACAAAGAGGTCTGCTCAAAGAGCCCAATTTCCACCAAATTAAATCTAAATTCAAAGACAGTTGGGAATCAAAATAAGCAGTTGGCTTGCAATCTAGGGCTTTGTTGCTTGAAAATAGATCCTCTATTATTAAACTCCAGACTCACACTCAACAGAGTGAGAAGTTCACATTGGGAGAGACAGGTGAGAACTGAGAATGTGTGACCACCTCATAATAACTTTGGGGTATATGCTCAGTGACTAGTCCGATCACCAATTCATTATTTAAATTCTTTTTATCCCTTCACCCCCCGCCCCCTTTTGCTGAATATGTACAGTGGAACCTTGTTTCTTGAATGTCTCCCATCTCGAACAATTTGCTTCTCAATCTGACAACCCTTTCATGCTTAAATCTATATGATCAGTCATGCATCTGTGAGGTGACAAAAAAAGGAGAGAATGTGGGAATACAAGTCAGTTTACCAACGCTAAAATCTCAGTATATTGTGAATATTTTTGTGGTTTTTTGCTTTTGTTGCTGTTTATAATTATTAAATTTTCATTTACATTTCATGTCTTTTTTGTTATTAATGTGTTTATTTATAGTTAAACAGTACAATAGACATGTACTATATATAAGAAAGGTTAAAACAGGGAACCATTTAGGCGTCTGGAACGGATTAATTCCACTTACATTATTTTTAATAGGAAAAAATGATTTGGTTTTCGAACAGCCTTCCGGAACGAATTAAGTTCGAGAAACAAGGTTCCACTCTATCATTAAATTCACATAAAGCATGTTAAGTGGATGTATGATACAACCCTACTGCATCAGAGTAGAGAAATTATGTTTTCGTATCCCCACTGCATGATGTTAAAAAAAAAAAGCAAAGGTCCAGGGTATCAATGATTTAATGTACTGTCACATCAGGGATGAATGACAATACCAAACCAGAAACTGGAATTTAGAATTTGTATACTGTCGCTTAAACAAAAAGCAAAAATTTGACATACTTGATAATATTAGTTCCAAACACAAAAGGAAAGCATCATACCTGCAGAATATATTGTGTGAGGTCAACTGCTTCTTTCTTCTCATGAACAAGTAGAGTTTCTTTGTCTTCTACAGTAATAATATTAATTTCTCCACGGCGTACCTCCCTCATGCCCAGAGGGCGTTTTCGAACACAAACTCTGATTTTCTCCATCTCAGTCCAAGGATTCGCTTTCTCTGAGGTGTTCTGTCTGATACAGTATGTTCATAAGTGGGCTTTAATTTTTAACAATAGTATAGGGCTACTTAAGAGAGCAAAGTATCAGTACATTTTGTTGTAAAACAGGATATATATATATATATATATATATATATATATATATATATATATATATACACACACACACACACACATATATATAGTTATATATTAACCAAAGAAAAAGAACAAGAATGCAAGACTGAGAAAGTTATTAGCTAAATCTTCCTGATTACTTCTCTCTATCCCTATTACACCCCACCCTTTGTCCTTACTGAAGAAAACAACAAAACCCTAAAACTTTGCTTTAGCTCTAAAACATGTGGTCTTCCAAAAAGTTTCTAATGATGGATGATGGATGCTCTTTCTTTATGCCCGCAAAACTCAGGCTATCAAAACCTCAAAATTGCCGAAACCGGTTTGGCTCAGTGGATAGAGCGTCGGCCTGCGGACTGAAGGGTCCCTGGTTCGATTCCGGCTGAGGGCATGTACCTGGGTTGCGGGCACATCCCCAGTGGGAGATGTGCAGGAGGCAGCTGATCGATGTTTCTTTCTCATCGATGTTTCTAACTCTCTCTCCCTTCCTCTCTATGAAAAATCAATAAAATATATTTTAAAAAAAACAAAACAAAAAAACCCCTCAAAATTGAATGCAATATGTCCCTCCAAGGCCTAAGATCTGAACTCTTGTTTCCTTTCAATCCAATTATTCTTGTACATCTACCGTTTTCTTGATCATTCAATATAATGTTTTTTTAATCTTACCTGAATTTACCTTGAATTAGGTGGTATGTTTTTATGTACTTTTCCCTTGTTTCTTCCAAATATATTCTGCCTTGTTCTCATACTTTCCAAATATATTATGTCTTGTTCTCATACTTTCTTTCTACCCATCCTTATATGTATTTATTTTAAAAAATATTTTTATTGACTTTAGAGAGGAAGAGAGAGGGAGAAAGAGATAGAAACATCAATGATGAGAATCATTCATCAGCTGTCTCCTGCATGCCCCCTACTGGGGATCGAGCCGGCAACCTGGGCATGTGCCCTTGACTGGAATCAAACTTGGGACCCGTCAGTCCGCAGGCTGACGCTCTATCCACTGAGCCAAACCAGCTACGGCAATATGTATTTATTTTAGAATCTGATTCTACACTTCTTTCTAGGATAATTTTATGACTGGTTCTGTCCATCACTAAATTCATTCTTCTATTCAGATGCATTTCTTCAGTGAACTCACCAATCTTTATTTTTTTAATTTATTTTATTTGAACTAATCAATCTTTATATCTAGAATATTTGAGGCAAATAGTCCCTTGGGTTAGGGATACAAAATTCATCAGGTTTACTTGCTGAGCGTAATGATGGTATATATGTATATATCTAAGAATTGACCTCTTATCTATAAATTCCTCTTAAGCTAGGTAACAAGAAAATGGGATTCTTGAAAGTAGGAGTTTACAAGAAACAATGCCTTTGGAATATACTAAGAATATCTTAGCAAGACAAATGATTCCCTTCTTTTGCACTTTAGAATTTGATTAATAACTCCTAAAAAGCCTTTTATAATATACTAGAGACCCGGTGCACAAATTCGTGCATGGGTGGGGTCCAGCCGGCTGGCTTGCCCCGATGGGGGCTGATTGGGCCGGGCCAGTGGAGGGTAGGGGCCTCAGGAGGTTGGCCACCGGCCCCGCCCCTGATCGAGGTTCGATCAGGGGCGGGGCCAGCTGGGGCGAGGGACCATGAGAGGTTGGCCAGCCGGCCCCATCCCCGATACAGTTGGGGTCAGCTGGGGGAGGGGCTGTCCCCCAATTGGTCCGTTGTCTGGCCACAGTGCGTGTCATAGAGACCAGTTGTTCTAGTCATTCCAGCGTTCTGGTCACTTAGCTTTTATATATATAGATTTTAAATAAGATTATTTCACTATATAATTGTTTCATGTCAATTTCAATTTTTATGAGCCCTCTAATTGGCTAGGAAATGATTTTTTGAAAGGATCTAAATTAGTAAAAAGTGGCAAATAAATTTATAGTAAATGTATAAAGACATATTTTGTTTTTTAGCCACATACAGTAGGTCCTCGGGTTATGTCGGAGCTCCGTTCCTACAGCGTGACTTTCGCCATAAGTCGGAACCCACTTACATTAGCAGCTACGTCACTCACATGGAGCACATACACAGCAGTAATGAAGTGAAACAGTAAAAAAAATTTAAAAGATAATTCCTGACCTTACTTGTGGTAAATAAATAATAAAAAACATAAAGCACATATGTACATACATCAAAATGATGGAACTTTTTTTTTCTTCTTTTTTTTTTAATACATTTTATTGATTTTTTACAGAGAGGAAGGGAGAGAGATAGAGAGTCAGAAACATCGATGAGAAAGAAACATCGATCAGCTGCCTCCTGCACATCTCCTACTGGGGATATGCCCGCAACCCAGGTACATGCCCCTGACCGGAATCGAACCCGGGACCTTTCAGTCCGCAGGCCGACGCTCTATCCACTGAGCCAAACCGGTTTTGGCGAAACTTTTTTTTTTTATAAATACTGTAAATGGGAGATGGTGATGTAACCATAAAACGACATACGTCGAGTCCGACGTAACCCAAGGACTGCCTGTATAGCACAATTTATTTACTTATTTTTCAAAAATATATTTTATTGATTTTTTACAGAGAGGAAGGGAGAGGAATAGAGAGTTAGAAATATCGATGAGAGAGAAACATCGATCAGCTGCCTCCTGCACACCTCCCACTGGGGGGATGTGCCCGCAACCAAGGTACATGCCCTTGACTGGAATTGAACCTGGGACCTTTCAGTCCGCAGGCCGACGCTCTATCCACTGAGCCAAACCAGTCACGGCTATATAGCACAATTTAAAAAAACATATAATTTTGGGGTTAAGTGTGACAAAATCTTCACAATCATTAAAAGTGGATGATGGGCATATGCTGGTTCATTGTGCTATTCTCCCTTCTTTTGCATATGCTTCATTTTTTACAAGAAAAAGCAAAAATAATTAAATTTTTATTGAATTTATTGGAGTGACATTGGTGAAAAAGCAAAATTTTAATGCATCTTTAAAAAAATGTTTTTATTGATTTTAGAGAGAGGGGGAGATATAGACACATCTATTGGCTGCCTGGCTGCTTCCTGCACGCCCCCTACTGGGGGGTGAGCCTGCAACTCAGGCATGTGCCCTGACTGGGAATCAAACCTGCAACCTCTTGGTTAGTGGGTCGATGCTCAACCATTCAGCCACACTGGCCAGGCTTAATGCATCATTTTAACAAGGGCTTTATGTCAAAGTCTCTAGTTGTTGGTGAGTATTAATGCCCTACTTGTATAAAGCTAATTAAGCAGGACAATGTCCTTTTCAAAATTGACCAGGGACTCTAGGATGGGTCATTAGACAAAAAGACTGTAGTTTTCAAGTTCAAGGGAGAAAAGGAATGAATATTCTTTTAAAAGGCTCTGGTTTTAGCCCGACTGGTGTTGCTCAGTGGTTGAGGATCAAATATGCACCAAGAGGTCACTGTTTTGATTCCCAGTCAGAGCACATGCCTGGGTTGCAAGCTCGATTCCTGGCAGGGGGGGTGCAAGAGGCAGTTGATCAATGTTTTTCTCTTGTTGATGTTTCTATCTCTCCTTCTCCCTTCCTCTCTAAAAATCAATAAAAACGTATATATTTTTAAAGGCTCTGGTTTTAAGGCCCAGTCTTCCCTAGAAGAAATAAACTATATCTGTTTGACAGGCAAAGAGTTAAGACAGCTGGAGTTAGATCTATTCAAGTCTTAAGTCAAGGCAACCAGTTCTCTAAATACCTTAGACTTTTATTACAATTCTGAGGCCAGCAATTTATTTTGAATATATCTGAGTTGAGGCACTCAAAACGAATGCCTAACAAGCCTTAACTTGGTGAGAGAGTTTCTCAGGGTTCTGAAACCTTGTCTGTTACCTCGGGTATGGGTGAGAAAGCAATATTGAAGATTTATTGGGGGAAATGTATTTCTTATCTCTATTTCTCTAATACAGACAGTCCCCGACTTAAAAGGCTCAACTTATGATTTTATGACTTTATAATGGTGTGAAAGAGATACACATTCAGTAGAAACTGCACTTCAAATTTTGAATTTTGATCTTTTCCCAGGCTAGTGATATGTGGTAAGATACTCTCTCATGATGCTGGACAATGGCAGTAAACCGCAGCTCCTAGTCAGGCAAGTGATTAGGAAGGTGAACAACGGATACCCTACATCAGTGATTTTCAACAGGTGCCGCAAGAATTTTTAAAACATGTAATACCTGCCCTAGCCGGTTTGGCTCAGTGGATGGAGCGTTGGCCTGCGGACTGAAGGGTCCCAGATTCGATTCCGGTCAAGGGCATGTACCTTGGTTGTGGGCACATCCCCAATAGGGGGTGTGCAGGAGGCAGCCGATCGATGCTTCTCTCTCATCAATAAAATATATTAAAAACAAACACACACATGTAATACCTGACTATTTAGTCAAGGGTACTGACCTCTTTTCTCTTAGATTTTCAAATTAAAAAATGACAACAGCCAACACAATAGCTGATGGATGTGAATGCCCTGTCTTGAACCATAGATATATAAGTCATATAACACAATTACATCTTATTAGTCACGTCACATAATAAGGTTGTATCTGATTGGTTAATTCTTGGTACCAGAAATCCTTATGTACAAGTATAGGCACTTACTTTTTTATAAAAAGTCACTTTGGAGCAGAAAGGGGAGGTAACTACTATAACTTTTTTTGTGTGTGTAATCAATCAAAATTATACCTATTTTTTGTCAGATCAGCAAAAAATAGATTTTTTTGGTGTGCTGCAGAATTTTAGTAATTAGTTTATGTGTGCCATGATATGAAATAGCTTGAAAATCACTGCTCTATAGTGTACTGATTGCCAGTTGTTTTTTTGGATATTGTGTTGTGTGATATTTTTAACTTATAATGGGTAGGACATAATCCCACCCTTTATTATCCTATTCTGTATAATAAAGAATGGGAAGAGTGAGGTAATAATAATATAAAAGATGAGAAAGTTCAATTGAACAGCTTTTGCTCTGGGTTTGTCACATATCAACCTCTATAATAGCACTTATCTCATCATATGGTTGGTTGTCTGTCTTCCCACTTACCCTGCCCCCTAAGAGATTAAGAGTCTCCAGATATCGTAATCTTTATATCCAGAATTGAGCCTAGCAGAGGTGGTATTTAATATTTGCCAAGTAAATTACATAGCAATATTTAAACTAAAATATCCATTCTGTCCAAATAAATAATGCAGTGTTATCTTTAATCTATTTATAAATAACTCCAATTTAGATTTTTATGTGTTGTTCAACAAAAGGCTGTAATAGCCAAGAAAATATTCTTTCACCAAGAACAAATATATATTTTTATTACTAATTTTTGTGTTTTTTAAAGAATATTTTTTATGGTAACAAGACTATCTAGTCCTATCACAATGGAAAGAAAATAGTACTTTATGTTCTATGCTCTGCTAAACCAACCCCTCCCAAAAGTTTCAGAAACTCCCAAAAGTTTATGAAATTCACTTATGTATTTCAAATTATTAAAGGTATTTTTACCTTAAACATTGAGGCTTCTATTTTTTTTAAATAAAAGAACTGGTTGATTATGATCCTCTGAAACCTTAGCCAATATAAGACTAGTATCTTGTTTTAAGGTATGAATGGCTTTAAAAAGAGGAAATGTGGCTTAACAAAATATTTTGTTTCTCCATAACTCACCATCTAAAGTTTTAAAGTAACAAAACAAGCAATACATGTTATTTAAAATATTTTTTCTATTATGCCAGTGTTAGTATTATTACTTGATATTTCACCTCTTTAGGAACCTTACTTAAAATTCTAATTTGAAGCATTGGGTGAAAATAACTTATTGTCACCCTGACTCTCAAACCCTAAACTCTAACAAAAGTGTCTTACTCTTTGAAGTCACCAAAATCATCTGTTCTTCCAGGCCTGGAGTTGTAGAAGGTACTCAAAATCAGGACCGTATTTCAATATGTGCAGGTAAACTGCTCCAAAGACCTACTTAATTAAACTACACTTTTTTTTTTCTTTTTTAAACTAAGCTTTACACCTCCTGGTTGGTTGAAGTGAATTTGATAGCCTTAAAAAATATATATATCCTGTGGATTGTGTAATTTTTTCCCCACTGTATAAGGCTAGTTAACTATTTTACCTTAATGGATGCACTAGATGTATTGTATCATATTACACTACAATAAATTATAGAAATAGATCCGCAATAGGAATAGTAGTGGATCCTGGCAAGTAACAGATGCTTGATGTACATGAACAATATCATCTTTCTCCCACCTGGAAAGTCCCAAGTCCACATTAATTTTCCCCTTTCAAGGTATTTCTATTATCAATGCAGAAGCTGCTCACTATCATTTTCTATAAATGAGTCGGTTGCACTCCTCTGGTCACGAAGAGGCCCTTACCTGAGGCTCCCCACATCCAAAAACAAACAAACAAACAAACAGTTACCTGATAACAGAATGAGGGATTCCATAGTTATACCCTGAAACATGAGAGACTCTTTGAACAATGGGAATATCACAATCGCCCAGTATTGGAGAAAAGTGACTTGATGACAAGAGTGAAGTGTTAGTTTCTGTTTGCCCATAGGAATCAGCAACTGTGGCATTCAGAATTCTTGTTTTTGTTTGGTACTGGGAATCATCTGGTAGCATGTGCTCCAGCACTTTTAGGTAACGAGACTTCTGTTCATTTGCAGAAAAATCTGATAAATTGCACATTTCAAACCCATAGTTGCTGGTAGTTTTGTCTTTGTGTTCAGCAGGAGAATCAAAATGCAATTGTCTGCGAGGTCCAGATCTGGGCTCCCGAGGCTTGCTGTACAGGTTGCTTGTCTGAAGAGGATGCTCTGGGCTACTGACTGCTTTATCTTCTTCTTGCATAATCTTAATGATTTTGATAAGTTGGAAAAGTCGTTTGCGGTCGTTCATGTCATGGACTCCCAATTTGGAGTAGTCCTTCATTGTAACCTTTGCTAATTCATCTATTTTCTGAAGGCCAAGGGCAGTAAAATGAGGATAATACTGTGCAAGTTCAGCTTCACAAAGACATTCATATAACCAGGATGTCATTTTTGTGAATAGGTTTCTATAAACTCTAAAGAAAAAAAACAAGTCATTCATTTGAAATACAGTATATACTAATATAATACAATTTATTCCTTTAAAAATACAAAACCCACAAAACATGCAGAAAAATCCATTCTAGCATACCAAGTTTTCAATAAATATATTTTTCTTCTGAACTGATTAAACAGCATAGTACCTAACAGGGTTAGGGAATATCCGGTCCTTGGACCCAGGAAATATTTTGGTCTGGCCCTGCCAAGGTATTAGGGGTGAGCTAATAAAATGTTTGACCAAATATAGCAGGCTAATTTTTAAGTTGATAATTTTATATGGCCCAAGAATGATGTTATAAATATCCAAATGGCCCTTGGCAGAAAAAAGGTTCCCCACCCCTGGCATAAACAAAGATGCTTATGATGCATTTGTGGTAACAGATAAAATTTGTTCATCTGCTTAATAAAAGAGACTTTCATTTGTACATACACATAGCTACAAGCACACACACTTTATACAAGTAACTTACTTACTTCTAGGGAGTTCCTTCCAAACTTGCAATGTCTACTTAACACAAGCCACAAACTACTAAAACATTGCTCCCAACCACTGATTGTAGCAGGACTAATTTTAGATGTTCAAGTTAACTCCAAGGCATGTTGCACAACTGTTTCCATGATTAATGAACAAAGGCTAAGAACTCTTTTAAAATGCGAAGCAGAATTAAATAGCAAACCACAGAGGATTACAAATTAATGTAACTCTGAGAAAATCACATTTGTATCTGCTGAGTACTGGGAAAAGTTAGTTGCATAAAGAGGTAAAAATGCCATTAATTTGAAATCTGATTCATGATTTCAGATCATTCTAAAAGGTAGGTGGTTGTAGATGCCTATCTGTACAGAACATAAATAAGAGTTTACCTGGGAAATTAATACTATAGTCAAGATTTAATTTATTTTTAAAATATATTTATATTTATTTCAGAGAGGAAGGGAGAGAAATAGAAACATTAGTGAAGACAGAGAACCACTGATCGGCTACCTCCGGCATGCCCTCCACTAAGGATCGAGCCCGAAACCCAGGCATGCGCCCTTGACTGGAATTGAACCTGGGACCCTTCAGTCCACAGGCCGACACTCCATCCACTGAGCCAAACTGGCGAGGGCTATGGTCAAGATTTTAAATGACTGCATATTAAAATGCTTAATATGCCAAGGTATTTAATTAAATACTAACAAATGATGTAATAACATATAATCCTGGTCTATTAATAAAGTCAGGACCCTGAGGAGTTTCTCCATACCACTGTTAAGTTCAAGTTCATGAGAACTTTCAGGTGTGTGTTTTTTTTTTGGGGGGGGGGGTCAAATTCCTTATTAACTCATGGGTTTTTATATATTTCATGTATTCTAATTAATTGTCTAAAGTCTTTGACACCTTCATCTTGTATATTTCCTATCCAAAACCTAAAATTGGCTTTCCTCCAGGAAACTAGAAGCAGCTGCCCATTGTCCCACATCCAAGTAAAGGTTATGCATTCCTAGCAAGAAAGGATAAAGAAAGTGAGGGGGCTTGGGGATTAAGGAAAGAATGAGCACAACCACACTGGCCCTTCTCTTCCCTTTGGAGATCAGGAACAGCTCTTCTACAACCACAAGTAGCTAATCCAGAAAGGTCATTACTGCTTTCATATTTGAGTTACTAAATAGTCTTTCTTGGTCAATTTCCAACTTTGTATAAACTCCAAACAACTAGTTGTGGCTTCTGGAAGGACTTATTAAGACGGACTTTGAGGCATTTATAATCATTAATAGAATACAGGATGAGAATCTGGGCTGGAGGGTATCATGTCATTTCCATTTTATTTCTAGTGCCCTTCTTTGGTCATACTGTGACTGAAAGGATGTAAATAGAGTTCTTCATCATAAAAGTGATAGGATATAATAATCATTAAGAAGAACAAACAGGCAAATGGAATATAGGGCCAAAATTTATAGTAAATTATACATTTCAAATATTTTAGAAATTTGTCTGATCTCAAATATTTTCTACCACTACTAGTTCATAAAGATTCATATAAAAATGACAAATGAGTAAAGGAAGAGTTAGATGCCAAGGTTGATGATTGTTGATGTGGTTTATTTGAGCATTCCTATCATAGCTCTAACTTTACTGGGTAACTCAGAGCAAAGAGGACAAATACATAGCCTATTGATAGATATCTGTGCTGCTTTTTCTCCTCCCATATCCATAGTAAATAAGCCAAATCCATTTCAATGTACTTTCTTTCTCTTTTTGTGTTTTTGTTTTGTTAATCCTCACCCAAGGATATTTTTTCCATTGATTTTTAGAGAGTAGAAGGGGGGAGGGGAGAGGAGGGAAAGAGAGATAGAGTGAGAAACATGGATATGAGAGAGACACATCAATTGGTTGCCTCCCTCATGTGCCCCAACTGGGGCTGGGGACTGAACCTGAAACCCAGGTAATATGCCCTTGACCGGAATCAAACCCCCAATTCTTTGGTGCATGGTCTGACGCTCTAACCACTGGCATACCAGCCAGGGCTCAATGTTCATTCTTACTAAACTCTAAAACAGCTTTAGAATCTCCCCTTTTTGGGGGGAGGGGGAGGGTGTACAATACTGTACAATTCCATGAGTTTTGACAGTTATATATACTTGTAAAACCATCACCACAATCAAAATACAGAATATCACCCTCAAAAGATTTCTCATACCTCTTTACATTCATCCTTCCTGCTGCCCCTGGACCTAGGCAACCACTGATCTGTTTTCAGTCATTATATATTATTTTGCATTTTCTAAAGGTTTAGTATAAATGGAATTATGCCATTTATTCTCTTTTGTATCTGGCTTTTCTCAGTTAGCACAATGATTTGAGACTTACGCATTATGCACATATCACACACACACGTGTATACACACACACACACACACACACACACACACACACCCATTTCATTTAGGAAGAGAAAGATCAGAATGAAGACTTAGGTCTTTCCATGGCTAATCCCATGTTCTTTTCACTATGCTGCCTCTTTCAGAAGTCTGCAAAGACAGTACCATTGCCAGGCCCTCTAATAGGTCCACTATCTATCCAGCTCAGTAGATCGGCTGCCTCCTGCAGATCTGTGCGGCAGCATGGTATATCACAGCTGTTACCACCAGGAAAATGCCCTGCAATCAGCGAAATACACTAGAGGACAGATGATCAGGTTTTTACATGTAGGGTCCAGTCATATTCAATATCACAAGTATGTAGAGTTCACCTTTGTGACAAATCCAGAGACTGTTAGGTCTCAGCTGTTGGGGTAACAATCAGAAATAGTATTGGAAGAAATCCAGTTGGCAGAAATTCAAATTTTCTTATCCTGGTGGCAGAGAAAATAAACTGGAGGGGGAACACATGAAACTTTATACACAATTAAGGAAGTTTATTCACATTCCAGGATGTGGAAAAAATCCAACTATTTAATATGCTCCCTCAAACTCTCCATTTATCTAAACTAGGTAACTCTACCCACCAAAACTGCCTGAAACTGAACTTGCAATCAGATAATATTCCATTTAGCTGTGTGACCTTGGGCAAAATCACTTAGTTTCTCTGAATTTCCATTTCCCTCTTTCAAAGTATGCAGTAAGATAGTTGTGTAAAACTAAGCTGAAACTATAAAGTACTCCATAAGGATGGGGCCATGTTCTCTTATTCAACACTAGAGGCCCAGTGCACAAAATTCGTGCAAGGGTAGGCTCCCTATCAGCTGCCAGATGCCGGCCCGGGCCTCCCTTCATACCTGCCTTGGCCTGGCGCTGCCCGCTCACTTGCTCCACCATCCCGCCATGGTCCCGCTCTTGTCGGGGCCCATCGGGGCCGGCAGTGCCTCCACTACCACCCACTGCCAGTGCGGTGTCGCCAACACCCACCATGTTCCGCGCCGCCCCATAGTGGTCAGTGTGCATCGAACTCCCCGACAGTCGAACTCCCGCCCATGGGGAGAATTTGCATATTAGCCTTTAATTATATAGGAGGATTGGGTCACTGGATTACTTTTTAGAAAAAAGTATGTGCCATATAAATGACTTTTAACACTATTAAAAGATGATTTCTTTACAGTAAATCCCCACTTATTACTGTTGATAGGTTCTGTAACTAAGTGAAATGACAGGTAACAAAATCAATTTTACTATATAGACTAATTGATAAAAACAAGAGTTAAGTTCCTATGGCATCTCATCAGTGTTATAATAAAACATTATTCAAGGCCCTGCCATATTTGATAAAAGGCTGAATATATAACATAGAATCAAAAGATAAGGAATTAGACATACTGAAGTAGATGTATTATACTACCAAATACACTAATAGTAACACTATGTGTAAGCTTCAATTAACTTAAAACTGTTTCATTAATGACAACTATACAAGTACATTTCTCTCTTTCATTGGCATAAATAGTTGATGTACAAGAAAAAAATAGTTGATGTACATGCCTGATTAGCATATATAATGTGGAGATAGATGATGCTACACATCAAAAGACCAATATTTCATACACACAGTCATGTGTATGTGCAGTCTTTTTTTCTTTTTTGTAGTCTTTTCTTTTATTCAACTTTACTGAGGTATAATCTTCCTATATAATAAAACCCTAATATGCAAATTGACTGAATGGTGGAATGACCAGTCGCTATGACATGTACTGACCACCAGCAGGCAGATGCTAAACGCAGGAGCTGCCCCCTGGTGGTCAATGTGCTGCCACAGAGGGAGCGCCGCTCAGCCGGGCTCATAGTTGGCAAGCACAGCAGTGGTAGTGGAAGCCTCCCCCGCCTCCACAGCAGCACTAAGGATGTCCAACTGCTGACTGCCGGCTGGCCGGCTCAGGAGGGAGCGGGCCTAAGCTGTCAGTTGGACATCCCCTGAGGGCTCCTGGACTGAGAGGGCACAGGGCGGGCTGAGGGACCCCCTTGCCCCCCGAGTGCATGAATTTCGTACACCGGGCCTCTAGTC